TTGATATTTCCTTAAAGAATGCAAAAAATCATGCTGCGACTACAGTAATTTCATTACAGGAAGTTTGTTTCTATGCATCCCGGTGAGGGCGCTGCAATCGCAAGAAGATAGTGATTGTGACGTCATAAGTCGGCAGTCCCTTCGATTTAGGTCTATGGGTATAGCAAGAACGACACATGCGACATCTTCCATCCACTGTATCGAGAACAGAGGGCGGAGAGCAAACTAAAAAGTACGTTTAGTTTGCTCTCCGCCCTCTGTTCTCGATACAATGGATGGAAGATGTCGCATGTGTCGTTCTTGTTATACCCTCGCACGATATCAAAGCACGATAGATAGAGACGATTATATTGTTTAATACTGGCAATCATTCACAAAATGACAAGAAAGATTATAAATAGAAAATTTCTTTATAATTAACTTTAAATGCGTATATAAAATAGAAATGAGGGTTTTGAAATTATAAATAGCGAATAACGCTAATATGAAGTAATTCAAAGGACATTACATCTCAACATAATTTTGTTTTTTATGACCAAACCAAACTAAGTGATTACCAATTGCTCAATTTATGATTATTTTCTCAATGCAAATTTTAATTAATTCTTGTGAAAACAATATAAGTTTTATAACCATCTGCTTACACATGAAAAAATCAATAAATGTCTGCAAGGAACAAAATATCTTATTTGCTTATCATTTAAATTATAGCATTAAATAAATGGCACTCTGTACAAATTTAAAAGGACGTTTTCATCAGTATTGAGATGGTGGTGGGGGTGGGTAGGTAGAGTTTCCCCCACTTGGCGTTGGGTACTGGTATACTGATTATAGTAGCTGAATCCTTGCTGTGATTGCCCGTTTCCTGTTTGCCAATATCCTGGTTGCCTATATGTCGGTTGTCCATAATGAGCTGTACATAGAAAATGTATGAAATGAACGGAGATAACCAACAGTATTCTACCTCAAAAGTCTATTTAAACATCACAAATCTTTATATTAGTTCTTTAGATTTAATGACAATATGTGAAAGGACTATCTTAGTTTTTGAAACTTGTGTCCAATCCCTTTTACATGTTGTCAATAAAATATTGTTCAAAATAACAAACGATATAAATTTACATTTTTGTAGTTTACCATAGAATGGGTTTGATTACCTTTGATAGATTGGCTTGTGATATGCATCGTCATAAGTTTTTTTTTCTCTCTCTGCATTGAGCAGTTACATGTACATGTATCATGCAAAAGAAACTAAATAAATCATATAAAACTAATAATTAATAATGATTTGTATGGTTTGACTTAGCCTGTTTTGCTGCAAAAGTTGTGTTCTGTAGAATGACTTATTTCGTGGGGTCAAATTTTCTTGGTTGGTGAAAAAAATCAATGATTCGTGTGGAATTGATATTGTAAATGAAGTTTGAATCGTTACATTTTTTTAATTTCACTTTACGTAGAGGACTTGAGTTGAAGAGAGTCTTCATACCACGAAGAACAGCAATACTAAAACATATCCCTATGAAAATGAGTGACTTCACAGTATACTTGATTAACAGTACAGAATATGTGCCTTTCGGTGTTAAAAATAGTTCCATTTGATTCCTACTGTTGGTGGTGCATGTATAGAATATTGTATGATCTTTCTTTAATTTTATTAATGCTGTGGCCACAAATATTTTTGCGACTACTTTTTTTTCTAATTTTGGGCATTTTTTCTTTAAGGTTTTTTTTTAATTTATGATTTCTGACTACGAAGTCATAAAAAGGAATCCCATACCATGATCTAATTAAGCGACTTAGGGTTTAGATTCAGCTCTAAGAAAGAAGAATTATTAACAATAATTCTGTTAGAATTATTTACAAGAATTCTGTTCCTTACTTGTGGTCACTGTGTTCATTGCAGCTGTATTATGAATAACCTGTCCTAGTCTATTTTTCTTCTTACAGCAGATGATGATGACAACGACAACAACGATGACTGTGAAAATTATGCTGCCCGCAACAGCCCCTACGATAGTTCCCACGTCAGTGCCGGAGTAGTAGTAGTAAGAGCAATCACTACTATAGTAATAATAGCTGTAGTAGAAGTAGGACCCAGTTGATGTTAAATGGTAACCTGAGAAAAAGAATTTTCAAATGCAGTAAAAATTTTGTATTATATGTTAAAAATATATCATTTTAAAAATTATTAAGAATTGAACACTGTTTGTCAATAAATCAAATTTGGTACACATACATTTAAATTCGAATTTGAAACCTCTCTTTTAATGCTTACTAAGATTATCATTTTCAATGGCTAGGCATCTTATTCAAAAATTAGTGGTCAACTGAATGTTAAATGCTTGTAAAATAAAATTAAACATCTCTCTCTCTCTCTCTCTCTCTCTCTCTCTCTCCTAGATCTGGATACTAGTATTTAAAACTCTTTGCCATGTCTTAATAATATATTTTATACATACTGTGCCTCTTGACACTGATATTAGAGGCCGAGGTATTCCATAATTGGACATTATTATATTTAAATGCCTTCGAGGATAATTGTCCTGAGTGATCAATAGAACTTAGGCAAACAAATGCATTATTTTTTTTCTTATCATAACAATACTTTGAACAGAATCAATGTCTAATTAGGTGATGTAACTCTATACGGTTTTACTTCCTGCTCTTTTTCAATTAATTTCAAAGTACTTGTTTTTGTGTCATCATGTTGCATCTCATTTTCTCTGAATTATCGAAAAATAATTTCCATTTCTTTATCAGATAAAAACAGACTTAATTTAGACCCATTTGAAATTCAGATACATGTATATTCTTTTTTTTTAATTCTAAATTCAGATCCTTATAGCTTGTTATAGCTTGTTTCAATAGAATAAGTATTGTTTTATAATGTTAAATAGTTAATTTTTTTAAAGAAATCATTATAATTAAATATCTTTTAGAAATACTTAATATTTTTGTTTTAAAGGATCTGCCATTGAAAGGTTCTTTAGAAGAAGCGATATATGGGCTTTATATATAGCTTTAATTGTACAGCTATATATGTGACCTTTATTGGTCATTTTCATTTTGATCAAAATGCCGTTATGTTAGAAATATGACATCATAAAAATCACGTTTTCCCGCCATTTTAGCATATTTTGTACAAAACTGCTTATTTTCAAGCAGTTTTTCTTCCAGAAAATATAGAGCGCAGCCTAAAACAAGCTATATATTTTTAACAAAGATGTATCTATCCAATACTGATTGGTGACAGAAATTTATGTATGTTCTACACTGCGCTCTATGCCTCCTATAAGAAAAAAAACATCAAAAAATGGCAAATTTTTGGCTTTTTTGTTAGATAGCAAAAAAAGCATTATTTCTCATGTCATTTACAGCTAGAGAGTGCATATAAATGTGAAAAATATATTAGAAATATTTCTAATATAATCTTTTCTTCGAAATAAATATCAATTAAACATATCTGAATGTCACTCTAAAATGTTGATTTTTAGGGGGCCAAAATTGGCTCTTGTCATATATGAAGATACATGTATTTTTATAAATGAACAAATATAAATGCAATTACAACGTAGTTTTACTTTTTTAGTTAATGATATGTACTATGTAAAATATCTCACTTGCAAAGTAAAAACAAAAATAAGAAAAGTGTATTATAATTACATTCTTTTTATTTAAGTCTATGTAAAATAAAGGTATCTCACTTGCTAAGAAAAACTGAACATAAAATAATTCATACCAAATTTATTTAACGATTTAAATGAACAAATCAATCATGTACTTACAAAAAATATTGAAGAGACTGAGAAAAAACGTCAAAATCTTGAAAGACGAAGCCATTGTCATGTTTATGACTATGTGACACAGATTTTAGAATTAGCCGGGCAATACCTAAATCCAAGTGCAAATCATAAAATTCCTTAATGCACCCTGATGCAAGCGCACAGCTTCTGCAAGAAATATATTTGTGTTCACTGTGTATATCGATCAATAACTTTATTCTGGATTTAAATAGCCAATAGATAAGTTTGGTTCAGAAGGGATATTTTTCTTCCCTTTTACATACAATACATAAAATCTCAAATATTTTTTTCTTCTATTATGCGACTCTCCGTTTTTCCATAATCCTTGTTGTTTCAAAGTTAAATTAGTTTTGGCTCATATGTAACAAAGTACTAGTAAGACCTATTTTTAAAACCAGATGGCCATAGCTGATATATACACCTATACATCTACTCCTTCCGTTTGAAGCTTTCTTAAATTCCAAAAGTATCTTAACCGAGGTTTTACATTTTCACAGGTAAAATCTTTAGCAAAAGCTCAAGTTAAGTAATGGCAATTAAAAGTGACCTATTAATAAAAGTTGATACCACAATCAGCCATCATACACAGAGAACGCACAAGAAGAAGTGAAAAAGTTTAATTATAACTTTCCTGGCCAACAGTAGCACTTTTACAAATCATATTATTACAATATTTTACAGCATGTAAGCATCCTCAGATTAGTATGTCTTTCAAATCTCTCCAAATCAAGGTCCAAGTAGGGTTTGGCCATGAGAAATTTAATTTAAATGATCTGCTTATTAAAGAAAAGATAAGCTGGAATAAAAATAAAACCTTCTTTCCATCTCCGTCGGAACTACAGATAAACTCAGAATATTCTTCATTTACTGATAGAGAAAAAGGTAAACTTTTAATGAAGTCAACCTACAATGTATATTTTATAATCCAAGCACAAAAAATAGACTGGTATTTTGAAAAAAAAATAGTGAATAAAGTTTGGTATACATATTGTATACGTCACAGCTCGAGACGTCATTGACAGGACATTACATTATACCATTAGTCTTTTATATACATATACAAGCCAAATAAAGTGGATTTTTTTTTGCTATAAATATTTGTATTCATTATTGTGAAAAGAAAATAAAGCATACATGCATATTTTTATACAAATACGAAGCATTGAAATATTTTTAAAAATAAAAATTATTCCGATTAGCATACCATATTTAGAATGAAAATATCACAATAAGTGAATGGCACTTCTGAAATAAAAGTGAGAAGACGTTTTGGTTGGTTAATATTTAGGAGGTGGTGGAGGAGGATAGGCGGGGTTACCACCAGGTGGCGGTGGATACTGATTGTATTGGCTGAATCCTGGCTGTGGTTGTCCGTAACTTGGTGGTGGCTGTCCATATCCTGTTTGTCCATATCCTGGTTGTCCATAATGAGCTGTTAATAGCAAAATCATATATCATTTATTAAGTAATTAATTTAATAGAAGCATTAAATGATTATTTAAAGCTGAGCTGATACTACATTTTTGTTTAATGTGCTCCCGACCGAATATTATATATCATATTAGAATTTTTAGCGAGGCATTATTGTCGGGGAGTTTAAGTCGCTAAAATTGAATATCGCTAACAATTAATTGCGTACATTCATTGATTGAGATAATTTCTTTCGATGGCAGTATAAAAATCGTTGAAGGAAATTCTTAAAAGCAGCTCCACTTCGCTTTTCACAAAGCTGGTGCATGCAATGACTATGGTATGGAATGTTCCTTATCGATTCATGTCCAACAACTCTATTTTATTTTTGTGGTCATGAAATTTAGATAGAGCATGGATTTTTGATTCTGTGCCTTTTTTGCAAATTTATATTACTTGACAATGAAGTACTAAAAGGAAATCCCATACAATGTCCTATACTAGCCACAGAGAGTTTAAATTCGGATTTCAAAGAAAACAGAAATGAATTAAAATAATTCGCTTCCTTACTTGTGGTCACAGTGTTGACTGCAGGTGTATTATGAATGACCTGTCCTGGCCGATTTTTCTTTTTACAGCAGATGATGATGACAACGACAACAACGATGACTGTGAAAATTATGCCTCCCACGACAGCCCCCGCAATGGTCCCTACGTCACTGTAGGAGGAGTAGTAGTAATAGCAGCGACTACTATAGTAATAATAGCTGTAATAGCAGTAATACCCTGCTGATGTTAAATGGTACCCTGAAAAAAAATAAAATAGAAACTCAATTTTCAAATATTGCGATAAAAGATTATTAAGACACTCATGCAGCCAGGGAAGTCGTCACTACAAAAACCAGAGGGATTATACACGGGACACCCCCTTCGCGTTCCTAAGGTCCTCCGTAATGCGATATTCTTTAATGATTTATCATATTCATCTACTCAACTATTGTTAAAGCCAATTTCATAACTTTTTATGAACATTAAATTTTTTCTGGTGAAATCATAAACATGCATATGTCTATCGACCTGGAGCAGTATCAGTACGTCATTTTAACGTATTGTTTTTGCCTGTAAAAACGACCGGGAAGCGTTTACTTTTCTCTCTTTGTTATCATATATTCCATATCAAAATCAAACTGTCGATTTTCTTAAAATATTTTTTAAGGAAAATGTACTGTTTCTTCACTTGTGTAATTTTTCATGCGTCATTTATACAAAATGATTTACTATCATGCAGTGCCCATTAATGCAACGAGGGTCAATGTTTTAATTCCGTAGCGGTAAAATTTGATGATCGTCAAGAGCATTTGATTATACTTTGTTTGAATTATAGGTTAGAAAAAAGTATATACATATGAAATAACAAACCCTTCGACATGTTTTTCCCGTTGTAATGTTTAAGCAGATCGCTCAGTCTGATAAAGAGTTTTACAGAGCGTTACACAAAATTTTAGTTCTCTTGCTGCTCCGCCTTAACGTCAAAATCTATTTTGTCGCCGTAATCAGATTTCTGTTCCGCGCTTTATCTTTCTTATGATCTCCATATTCCTGATCAGAATAATAACAAACTTGCACAACATGAAGTCAAAATGAAATGGGAAAATTATATACATAAATTGATTTATTTTCGCTCTTATTATGGGTCCACGATGGGGTTGAACGTTGGTGATACACATTTTCAACATCTGTTTTCGTGACTGCTCCGGGTACCCCTACCATTGACACATTTTTATTCCACTGAAGATAAGAAATTTTATATTCGTGAATTATATTTTGTTTTTATGAATTCTCTATGTTTTTCAAACGTATGTGCAAATTTTCACCGAAAGACGTTCATTAGAAAGAAAAATATACACACTGTCTCAATAATTTCCGAACAGCCCTCGTAAGTTTATTACGTGTATATTTACATTCAGTGGTTTCATGTATCATAAATAAACATTGCTTGACATTGTTTGGCATTTTCTATCTCTCTTTCTCTGACTATATTTAAAAGAATATTTTCATTCTTTCCTTGTAGTATAAAATGTGTACTTTTATGTACACTGTACCTCTTATTGATATTGACATTAAGGGATAAAAGAAAATACGCACTTCTACTGGACCGTTCGTTTACTTTGCTCATGTTTACGAGTTTAAATGCCTTCAGATTAAGCGGAATTATCGATCGCTTTACATTAGAAATGTGTGCTTAACAAAAATTTATTTCTTATTATGATAGCGCTTGTACAGAATTTATGACTGAATACGTGAGGTAGATGTATGAACTACTTATATTTTATGACATTTCAAAATATCCTATCCATTGCTGTCTGCAATATTCAATATGTAAGACTCCAAAGTCCGATGGTGACGCCAAAGTTCGTTGGTCTCGCCAAACCTCGATGGTCTGCGCCAAACCCCGATGGCTCGTTGTCTTTACGGACGCCAATGTCCGATGGTCACGCCAAAGTCCGATGGCTCGTTTCCTATGAGACGCGCGACGCTAAAGTGCGATGGTCTGACACGCCAAAGTCCGATGGCAGGGAGGAAAAATTAACGTTTATGACGTCACAATAGTCTGACGTCATGAGGTTATTCTGCATTCAAAATTAATTGATTCAGTATTCGTCTCACATACGTTTTTACGGATATTGCTTTTTGTTTTCACCCACCACCAGAGATATTAGGGTTAGTCCTCGTACACCATTGGAGTGATAAGGGCTAGTCCTTGAACAGTACTTAAAGGTGCTTCTTCGAACCCACCCGAGGGATTCTAGGGTTAGTCCTCGCACACAATTGGGCTGATTTAGATTAGTCCTGCACCCACCTATGATAGTTAGGTTAGAATTGATACTCATTGTTCGACTGATAAGTCTTAGTTTCGCACCTATATTCAAAAGACGAGGGTTAGTCTTTGTATAATTTATGATATTTTGTCTTTATTTATTGGCATGTCGTGGCGTCGAATTCTTACGCAGTAGTACTATGACGTCATAGACGTTAATTGTGTTCTGTGCCATCGGACTTTGGCGTATACAACCATCGGGGTTTGGCGCAGACCATCGGACTTTGGCGTAACCATCGGACTTTGGAGTCCCATCGCACTTCGGATTCCCTGTGTTTTCCTTAAATTGTCTTTTATTTCAATATACGATATTAGGACTACGAGATTTATATACACAGTGACAGTCAAATAACTTTTTCTTTGCTTTTATATATTAAGTATACAAAAAGTACATATATTGTGTCTTTATTCATTCATTCAGCGAATGAATTGTATAAGAGCGTATTGCACCATCCAACGCATTAATTAAAAATGTTTTTTTCTGGATATACAGGCAACATGTTATTTTCTATCAGGCAAAATATTTCTGAAAATACATTGAATAAACTTTTTAAGAGAAAAAAAAATGTTTTATGCTTTTGATCAAATTGTCTACTTTACTTCACGCCTGGAGAACAAGTACGGGATATAAAATAATAGTTCTACTAAAATTGAATATAAATTAATATTTTAAAAATAAAATAAAATTTTGTCTGTTTTAATGTATAACAATCATAAAACAATATTTAAAGAATAGTCTTCTTTATAAATTTGAATCACAAAAACATGGGAAAAAAGTATAAACATGAAACCAAGTAATACAAAGTAAATTAGAAATAATCAAAGGAATGAATTGATGAAACAATAATTACCTAAGACGTGGAAGAGACTGAGTAAAAATATCCATATTCTAGGAGCTAATGCCATAATAACGTATTTGGTTTGATGTTGAACAGATTCAGAAATAAATCGGGCAATTTCAAAACCTGGTTATAAATCTTGGTACATGTATTTCCAAATGCAAGCAAACATCATGTTGTTGGACATTTAAAGGTACTTGGACACAGATTTGAAGTTAATATTTTCTGTATAATATCACGAATTATAATTATATTTTAAAAGCATTTCGCACAAAAATTAATTAAAAATCTTATTTCATTTAAAAGTTATTAAAACTTCAAATTTTTTGGCGGGTTTGATTGACACATCCTTGCACTTTCACAAATTTTAACTTTATTCTTAATCCTTCGGTAAAGTTGCAATCTTTTTGTGTATTAATGAGAAATACTAAGACTTTAATCTAGAAAAATATTTTTTTTCAGAGTAGAAATGTTACAAAGCAAAATTCCTTCACAAGTACCGTCATTCCGAACTAAGTCTTGTGTGCAAATCGATCACACTCTTGTTATGTACACAGTTTTTGTAAACAGGGCAGGAGCTCTGTTATTGTTGATTGTTTATGATTCACCGGGTGCGTTCAAGCGTCAAAGTCTGCTCACCACAACTGCACGGACTGAGAATATATTGTGTGTTTGCTTTGCTTTCGAACATGTCTACTCTGATTTTTCTGGATTATAGTATTAATATTTTTCATTTATACACAACAAGTTTGCCACTTTCCCTAAGTATTAAAAGTAAACTTAAAATTTGTGAAAGTGCAAGGATGTGTCAATCAAACCCGCCAAAAAATTTAAAGTTTTAATAACTTTTAAATGAAATAAGATTTTTAATTAATTTTTGTGTGAAATGCTATTAAAATATATAAGTCGTAATATATTATACAGAAAAAATTACCCCCAAATCTGTGTCCAAGTACCTTTAACTGCGTATATGGATCAATGACCTTTATTTTATTATTATTTTTTTTAATATTAAAGGATCATTGGATAAATTTGGTTTTTAAGGGAGATTTCTTTTCATCTTGTGTATATATTTTGTATATTTTTTATATATTATATATACCTCACATCTCTGATCTTATCAAGCAATAAAATGTGTTCAAATATCTCACTTAACTGAAACGATATATACTGACACGCAAAAGAAACGCAACAAGCAATGATCTACAAATGTTTGAATTTTATATCTAATGATTTCAAAAAAGAATACAGTAAGGCTAAACTCACTTTTCAGAACATCAGAGATTTGATAAAAATGTTTATTGTTTATCTTTTAACTTTACTAAGTAACATATGACTTTTAAAACACCCCCCTCCCAGCCACTCAATTACAACGTGCAAGACTGTCCTAAACAACATTAGCAGCTTAATTTCTACGATACAATAGGTTAATCAATATCGAGATCTGAGCGAAGGAATTATTCTTTGCCATTTTTAAATGCCTGTTTTTCAGATGATTAGGTCGAATTTTCTCTAACTTAGCGCATTGTAGTAACCCTTGGACTTCCGTTCCAAAGACTATCATTTATGAATATAATACGTAAGACCCCGTTGAGACGTAATGTACTGTATTTTTGCATCATCAACTCTCCATCACCTTTACTTTGAGATTTTCCAGCTAGAGCAATGGAAATGCACACTGAAGCCATTTTCAAGAAGCTTTAGCATCGTTACGGGAAACGAAAGGAGATTTTATTTTTTGAAATATTGCTGCATTACTTAAGATGAACAGCACAAACCCTTAAAACTCCATAATATTGCCAACTGTTTTGTGAAACATGCAATTTTCGATTTCTGTTATGCAGACTCAAACTTGACTTCCGGTTATGGTAGGAAAATCGTTCAACCGTTAAATTTCCGATATTTACCAATTTGAAGATATCCATAATTTTAAGATTTAAAATTTTTTACTCTATATAATTATTTTACCCCAAAGTAGGGTGTTGCGTTTCTTTTGCGTGTCAGTATACTACTTGTAGGTATATGAATTTCATTGATTCTAGTGCGGTTTTCATTAAGATTTTCATACAAAGAGTAATGTAAGCTGATTGAAAAAATCTAAACATTTGGTGACTTTATCACTTCACTGATATTTAAAGAATTAATTATCATTCTTTTCGTTTTTCAATAATTTCAGTATGATTTTGACATTGCGGGTCGAAATGTTTTCACTTCATAGTTATGTATTGCTCATAACATAACCTCTTTAACTCGAGATTCCTTGAACACCCTGGTCATCTTATAATTGGTTAAAATTATAAATAAATATTAGTGAGGAAATAGTCCCAGTTAGCAGGTCTGACTTCTCTGGAATGTGTCCTCAAATGGTGGGAGAAGTACCTTCTCAATAAATTAGTTGAATGGTATTCATTTGATATAGAGTAATAACAATAAGGGCATAATTATATAATAAAATCATGTCTTTTCATACGTCATATTCAGTAGAAGATGTAGATAACCAATTTGCTAATGATCGCTATAATTGGATATTTTAAAAATTCGCATCACCTTGTGTGTCAAATATTTACAACCATGCACTGAATTTTCTTGCCTTTATTTCTTAAGAAACCCATTGCCTATGATGATTTATCGATCTTTTTCCAGTCATTGAGCACATTACCTCTTCTTTCTCTTTTTCATTAAATAGAGGACAAACGTTTAATAGCAAATAAGGCATACATGTATTGTGTTTCATAAAAAAACAAAAAATCTTGAACACCATATACATGTAACTAACAATTCAAACAATATTCATGATAAATACCAGGGTTGTTCAATAAATAATATCCTGAACTGTATGACATACAATACAGATATCATATGACATTAAAATTGGCTTTCTCTCATAATTGAATCTTTAATGAATTTATAACAGTTCATGTGACCACTTTTCATCACATAGTTTCATTGTGAGAAGCTGGAAAACAAGAGCTTTTCGAGACACTGCATTATAAATGAATGGTAAAAAATCCGTAAACTAGAGTGAAAATAAAAGCTTAAACAAAGCTGCTGTAAAACTTGTTAAAAATCCCAAAGAAATATTCACTGAAATATGTGACATTTACAGCAACCAATATCTGTTTTATAGACAAATGAGCAGGTGGATTTCAATGATATAAAATTATATATTGGGCATCAAAAATGGGTACCGTCCTTGCCAACAAAAAATTATAACACTTATGTACTGTTTGCCAAATTTCAACAAAAAATACTTGATGATGTAGGATTGACTTTAAGACAAATAGCAAATTTGATACAAAATTTACCATAAGATGTACTTGACAAAAACAGGGAAGGTCTGGTGAGAGCAAAGAATTGCAAGAGCACAAAGACAGATTTATATGCAATGTTCTTAAATATTAGTGGTATTGTTGTTCAAATTCGTATTCGGGGAGAAGTTTAATTTCTGGATGAGGCTAGAAAACATTTTTTTTTTTGCAAAAAAAATCGAAGAGTTTATTAGAGGACGGACCCAGAATCAGGAATCCGCTAAATTACATTTCTTCATGACAGCGTCTAAACCCGCTCGCCCTGAAGAGTAAAGGGGTTTTCGGGATACACAGATAGTTAATATTTTTTCACATTAACAACATTCGTCAGATCTTTTACCCTTTTGACTTATTTCTATTTCAAAACTTGAAAAAACACCTTTGATAAGGAAGAAACAAGTCCAGGAAATCATTGGATCTGCCATTTTCCAGTATTCCAAGGGTCATACCCAAAAATGAGTTCTAAAATTAACCAGAAATTGGATAAAAAAATTTACACACATGTGTTGTAATTAAAAGAGATTAATAAGTAAAATAATGAAGACAAAATCATTGAAAAGCGTCTTTTGTTTCTTTCCGAGCACCGAGGACATTATTTATTGAACAGCCCTCGTACATTAAAATAGCATAATATATTTGAACATAAAATAATAATTACTCATTACGTTCTTTATAGAATATATCTTTTAATTCTCGAGAAAGCATTATAATTTAACACAACTGCACTTATTGTAAAGCTATTATATGTGTAAATAAAACATGGAATCCAATAAGCATTCAAATAAAAATATCACTTTACGTACATGTCAATTTTTAGTTAAAATGTTTATTGATGTTTTGATTCTTTTAGAAATCAGGTGGCTTGAGAAAATGGGTATGAGGGATTACTGCCAGATGGCGGTGGATACTGATTGAATCCTGGCTGTTTTTGTCCATAACTGGAAGGTGGCTGCCCATATCCTGGTTGTCCATAATGAGGTGTTCGTAAACATAATATATGTCATATTATATATAAAACAAATGCTAACCCTTTAGGTGCTTCAATTAATGACAAAAAGCTGACGCTACATCTTACAGGTAAATGTAAGAAAATTGTGCTACATAATAAATTGTTAAACTATAGTTTGAAAGTAAATTTTTTTCATTACTGTTGGTAATTAGCTTCTATTCTTTATTAACATTTTTTTTGTCGAGTAGTTCAGAGTAAAACCACACAAGGCATATCGAACTAAGTATTGTACATTGTAACTTTTTTGGTCCTTTAACGTTACAGGAGTACAAGCCTGTTTTACTCCGGAACGTCCAATATATGTACTCTACAACATGGAATATTTGACAAATTCCTGTAACAAAATGTTTAAAAATATAGTATGGATTTATTTATACTCCGTGTCTTTGAATTTTTTGTGGCCCCCCAAAAAAAAAATGTGGTCATAAATTTTAATATGAGCACATTTTTTTCTTTGTGTTCTCGATTTTTTTTCCCAATTTTTATTTCTTGGCTACGAAGTAATAAAAAGAGGTTTATGCCATTTTTTTTTACCAACCACCAAGGGTTTTTACTGTAAAGTCTTTATCTAAATAGGAGAAAAAGAACAATAAATCTGTGCCTATTCTTAAATTGCATTGAATATATTTTTTTTATCAGAAGGAATCAGAGTAGAATTCAGTGAACAAGCCTGTTGATAAATGTCGGGACAAGAGCGGATCTAAAATTAATAGAAAGAGGAATAAAAGGAGAAATGTGCAGAGAATGGAAGAATACCGACTAAGAGGGTACAACCAGACATCTAAGTTGGGAGAGGGGAGACATTGATCATATGGGAGAGGACAACTTTGAGAATATCTTGACTTAACCCTGTCTAATAATTATTTAGATAGTCAAAAGTTTGAGTAAGAGAAGAGTTATATGGAGAATCTATAAACAAATAGAAGATGAAAGATTTTGATTCCAAAGAACTTGAAATTTTGTTTTTTCATGACTCTACATAAGATATACCTGTACTCGTACATTGCAGGAATTGATAGTCAGGAATCAACGTGTCTTTCATATTTATTTAAACTTCGAATTCAGGTAAAATGTTAAAATATTAGAGAAAGTTCCGATTCTTGAATCTTTCCCTAAGCTTTTAAAATTTGTCCACACTTAGTCTAATTGGAGATGGCCTGTATTATATGGTGCAGTCTGACCAATAAAAATAGGCAGGATATTGACAAATAAGAGGATGACACAAGAATATCTGCAGCCTTGTTTAAATTCAACATTTAATGACCTTCTTACAATCCTTAGAATATCAAAAAACTACAACGAACTTTTATTAAGATAAGTGGTTTTTAATCATTCTTTTAATGAATAACATTATAGTTATGTTATCTAAATATAAATCATCAAAAAAATTCAAAAATCAAAAAGGCTCTTACATGTCAGTAAATGAAATCCTGGCCAGCAGGCTAAAAAGAAGACAAGTTCACAAAAGCATTGCACTAGGTTATTCATGTTATGTCTATAACATTACGAGTTTGAATGGAAAACTGGACGGAAGATTTAAATACATGTATATGTAAATAAAAATTAAATAACAAATATACATATTATTGTGATTTTACACTAAATTAACTAAAAATTAATTAAGTATTAACAATACATAAAACAGGTAAATTTACCCATTAAATAAAAAAAATCTTCATAACAATTTTTTCTTTAAATTCAATTATTTAGAAAACATAATAGTGATAAAGGTGTATAAATTTATCACAGACCATGATTATAATTGACACATAAAAAATATCACTGAGTACATGTACAGAAAAACTGGCACACAAATTTGATTGGAATGCATACAAGTCAGATTAATACATAAAATTTAATATAAAGTGGTGCATCACAGTAGTAGATCTTTATTTCTTCATGGTGGATTTCAAGTCTGTCTACAATAAAATGAAAAAAATATATAAAATTAACCATTGGCCTTTCCTTTAAGTGTTAGTACAGAAGTGCAATATTATTAGAAATATTTGTGTTGTACACGTGTAATTGTATGTAGTACAAAGTGCTTCATACATACATTGTCAATTTTTACAATTTTTTTTTTTATTTTGCAAATAAACTACAATTTAGAGGATATCATATTTTTTAAAATTTAGTCATTGTTACTTAATAATGTATTCCTTGACCATTACTATCATTCCAGAGGTATTTGTCTATGAAAAAAAAGACAGTTATAAACTAATAATGAATTTTGCAAAAAAACTAGTATAAAAAACAAAGAAGGTTTAATTTATGACTAACATTCAAGTTATTGTATTTCAAGCATTTTTTTTTATGCAGCACACAGGGTAAATTGATTTGGTTATTACCAGGTAAACCAGAATGATTATATTTGACCCCCCTTCCCGCCATGAAATAACTAGAACTGTCCAAATGGGACAAAATACCCCCGCTGGGTTTTTCAGAAGTAAGTTTTTCCATAATAAAGATATGTATCAAAAACAAATAATGAAATTTTTCTTCCAGTGACCTTGAACTTCCCCAAATGACCTTGAGTCAAGGTCACGACACACCCATGGGTCATGGGCAATCTTTGAGTGAAATGAGAACCTACCAAGTTTATCCATAACAGATATGTATCAAACATGAATTATGAAATTTTTCTTCCATTGACCTTGAACTTCCCCAAATGACCTTGGGTCAAGGTCATGACACACCCTTGGGTCATGGGCAATCTTTGTGTGAAATGAGAACCTACCAAGTTTATCCATAAAAGATATGTATCAAACATGAATTATGAAATTTTTCTTCCATTGACCTTGAACTTCCCCAAATGACCTTGGGTCAAGGTCATGACACACCCTTAGGTCATGAGCAATCTTAGTGTGGAGTAGTAGATTCTAATGTCCCTCTGTAAGAAAGATATGGACCGGACACGATTGCACAGACAGCTAGACAGACGGACAGACGGACAAGATGATTCCTATATACCCCCTCAAACTTCGTTTGCGGGGGGTATAATAAACTTTTCGCTGGTGTAGGAGACACTTATTCTTTTTAGAACCATTTCCAGTTTAGTTTGGACTTTCAGTAAGGCATGGCATTCTCAGCACTACGTAATTAGCGTCTGTCAAATGGCGAATAGATTAATTCTCATTGGTTAGGAAATAAACTAGAAAACTGACCAGTCAGCAAGGGCCCCGCTGAGGGGTAGAAATATAAGGATGCAGCTCATTGAATGAGAGTTTTACTTGATTACATTTTTTTTTTAAATATATGAAGATTATATATAAGTAACAACTGTATTTTTAAATTTTCAAGATAATTCCTGAATGTCCAAAAATCCTGTAAATAGTAACCTTGTATTTACATATAAAACAGGGAAAACCTTATGTCTTATTAAAGAAACTAAATTAAATGTGTATTTAAAAAAGATTAAAGCAGATGATTTATAAAATGAAAGCCTTCAGTGAATGCAAATATCACCCAGGGTTGACCTTAACTTCAAAACAAACATCAGTTGCAGACAAAGGTGTTCATTAATCTTCATGTGACAGATAAAGATAAGCCTCTAAATTTTCTGCAGCAGGCTAGATAATTAATCCCAAGGGATTGATTGTACTGCTTTCTCATCCTTTTCTTCTAAATTTACAATAAGAACTTTTTTAGCTCTGACAGAATGGGATTATTATCTGATTACCTGTTAAGATCAACAGCATTAAGGCAGCAAAAAATAAATAAATAAATAATTAAAGAAATAAAATAGTAATATACATGTAATATAAAATGATATTTTAATATATATCTTGATTTTAGAATTCAAAATAATTATCATAAATCATTGTATACAGTATTTAAACCAAAATAAAGTATGAACATTTATTTTAAATCCAAATTTCAGATAATGTACACATTCAAAATTGACCTTAACTTCAAAACAAAGTTCATTTGCAGAGTTCATTTGCAGACAGAGGCGGTTCAGTAATTAATCTCAATGTGACAGATAAAGATAATTCTTAGGAATTTCTTCATGTGGAAGGTTAATTAATCCCAAAGGACGAATTGCACAGCCTTCCCAGTTTACAATGGTAACATTCTCTGCAGTTATCTCTCTTTGCTCATTCATTCTCATGCATAGTTAAGAAATCTACCCCGCCACCCCAGCTCCAAACCAGACGACATAGAGAACCAAACTTAGCATCAAAATATGTATTTCTGCCTACAGAACTACCATATCAAATCTGAACTTGATTGGGCAACCAAAAAAAAATTATTAGAAAAAAACAGAAAATTTGTGGATAGAAGAATGACAGACAGACAGCTAGACAGACGGACAGACAGAGTGATTACTATAGGGCACCCGCAAATCCTTGAGGGGCCCTACATGTAATAACATCAGGAACTTTAAATTGTTGTTGACAACGATGAGACGACTTAAGCTCCACCTCTTTGCCGGACAAGACAACGTTATTGGTTATTCCATACAATAATTGGCATTTGCCCGAATTTCTATCCCATGTATATTTCAACAGTGAAAGAAAGCTGTGTAAATTTCAGAAGCTAAATATGTAACATCCAGAATGCCATGCCTCATTGAAAGTCCAAAATAACCTGGAAATGGTTCTAAGATTTAATAAAAGACTTGAATTGATAGTGTCTCAATAATTATGAGGATATAAAATATATTTAGAATTTTGAAACAAAATACAAAGGCAAAATAAGGAATGAAAATTAAATTCATAGAATGAGAATGTTAAAAAATTGTTTGATCAACTAAAAGCAATAACTTCAACTCAGGAAAGGATTGACTGTCAAACACAACATTGTTAGAACTGAAAATATCAAAGATCACCTAATATGTTTCTTCCTCTGGTTCCTGAATGCATTTAAAAAGAAAAAGGCATAAAGTTTGTTGTTGTTGTTGTTGTTTTTTGTTTGTTTTTTTTTTGTTAAATCTTTGCAATTACTGAAAATATGTGAAATTATCTTTTTTATGATATTTCAACTGGCTCATCAAAGAAAATAATAGCATCCACTGAAATCTTACTTCAGCTGTGCAATGACAGTTAACAAATTTACAGAAGCCATTAAACAGACTCTTATATTACCTCTTCTATAGCAGCGTGTTTCTTTTTGCCAGGACTTCGAGAACGCTCTCTCTTGATTCTTTCCTTCATTCTCTCTAACTGTTTGTCCTTTTCATCCTATGTTAAAAAATTATCAATTTAGAATCAGATGTCCAAATATTTCTCACATCTCTATAAATGAAGTGCAGTTATCCTTAAACCATTGAAAATATTCAAATATTCGAAAATTCTAGTGAGTAGTGATTAAAAAAATGCAAAACCTTACTGAAAACATCAAGTGAAAAACTACATAAACAGATTAAATTTACAAATAAATATGTGTATTAATTTTGTGTTTTCAGGAAGAATTTCTTTCAATCTCTGCCTTACACTCACAATTCAGTTTCACAGAATTCAAAGTAGTATTCATCTCAGGTGAGCAAAAAATAATACCTGTTTTGCGGCCAGTAGACTGGTTTTCTGACGTTCCCCGAGGTTGAGCAGGCTCTGGACTTCTGCTTGTTTTTTGCTTTGTCTCTCTGCAAGTCTTCTTTTCAGCTAAAATAGCAAAACAGTCTAATTGTATTCAAATTCTCTCAAAGATAATACCAAAACTGAATGATAAGGTCTAGATGCCAACACCAATACTGTCATTGAAAAAACAATTAATCTTTGTCATGAAACACATTTACATAGTTACAAGACATTCATCTTTATGTATTCAGATTTAGCGATGACCCTTTATCTGGATTTTGAGATGAACCCTTATTTGAATTATGAGATGACCCCTTATTTGGATTATGAGATGACCCCTTATTTGGATTATGAGATGACCCCTTATTTGGATTTTGAGATGACCCCTATTGTCCCCCATACTGACCATTTCCTCTTGTTTACGCTGACTCTCCTGTTTATGCTGCATCACTGCTGTCTGTTCTCTCATCAGTTTGGTGTACGTGTCATGCTTCTCCTTGTCTGACACAGTCACATCCAGGGCCGTCTTCTCTCGCTTCATGGAAGCAAACGGATTCTGTCAAAACAAAGAGGTTAAGTTATTTAGAGCCATTTAATTAGGACTATGTGACATGAGCCAAGAGAAAACTTAAGCACAAATGCTAAATTCTATTAATTTTATAATTACATGTATGCATTCAATTAATAAATTTCAAATTCCTTTTTATAAAGTTTAGGATCTCTAAACTGCAAAATAAAAAGTCACAAAATCTTATGAAAGCAACACATGAGAACTGAAATTTCTTTGCAATTTTCTCTTAGTACTATAAGATGAGTACATGTATACCTATTCTTATAGTAATGTTTATGATCAAGTCTCCACTTCATCTTTAATACTTTTCATGTACATGTACCTGTGGTATATCTACTTACACTGTCCATGGTGTTAGGTCTAGAGCCGTCACTGGAGCCTGAGAATCTCTCCTCGTCAGTCAGTGACCTTCTGTTCTCATCCTGATCCTCTGTCGCTTTCTTCCTGGCTTGTCTTCTGGCCTCCAGTCTTTTCTGAAGCTGTAGAATCATAGGGACAAAGTTATAACTATACTAGCAATAACTTATTTAAAACTACCATTTTTACAAGCAATCTGTGGGTTGCAAAATTTTCATTTCAAAGGAATTTAAAGATTTAATATAATCCTGCTTTCCTAATGTTGCATGGCAACACAATTCTACTTTGGAAGAAAAAAAGATATCAAGATATCCAGTGTAAAATATTTAGAGAACAAGAAGTTTGGACTTCCAAATCACTTTAACGTATCAATGGTATTCAAGATGTCAATGTCCAGAAGTTCAACTGTACCCTTAAATTCACAGTCGAATGCTAGTTGCACTCAAAATTCAATAAGAAAATTACAGATTTCTATTCATTCTGAAAAAAAAAAATCATTTGATAATTTTTTTTTTTACAGAATGATGTTCCCTACCTCTGAGCTCTGTTGACTGCGTTCTTTCTCTGCGCTCTCTTTCTGTTTTTTCTGGCGGCTCTCGGAGAGCAGTATGAGTTGAGCTGCCTTGATCTCCTTGCTCTCTTTCTCCTCTGTCTGACGTTTACGAGCCGCCACCTTCTCCATCAACTTCTTCCTCTGCTGCTCCAGATCAGCTGTCATTGCCTGATATTTAAAACAAAAGTATATAAGGTGATGCTAAATAAAGGAAACCAATTTTTTTCAGCAAATTAAGTTTTGATACCATAGAACTGACAACAAAAGTTCCTGCATGTTGTTTGCTTATTTGTTTCATTGGAAAGCCAATGTTTAGCAGCACACTGATGTCTAGTTAAGTTATGTACAAATCTTATAAACAAACCTTTCTCACATTTTTTTTTCACTCTTAATACCTAATATTCATTTGCTGCAAGTGCCAGGGTAAAAAAAAATTCAGAGAAAAGGAAGGGGGTACATGTCCAAGTGCTTTTTAACTATACCCAACTTCTTCACTTGATTGAGTAAAATTTGGTTTATGGCTGTTTTAGCTATAAATTAGACATTAAAATAATTTATACCCCTCATGTTTTACATGAAAATCTAGTCTAATGGTAGATGTTTTTATTATCATTCTCTATATAGCTATAATAAATATTGCATGTAGTTGAGTGTAACATTGAAAATTTTCACCCCAAGAAAACCACTGTCAATCGAGGCGCAGCTGAGGTTGACAATGGTTTTCGAGGGGTGAAAATTTTCAATGTTACACTCAACTACATGCTATATTTATTATATTATACTGAATGTTTTACACAAATACATATAGCAGTGAACCGTGCACGCATAAATTCTGTGCAGTCACTATTTTTTTGGAATATCACCCGTCGTCAAGCAATGTTGACTGCAGTTGCTACGCTGGAGGGCGTGGCCTCATTATTCAGTGGGTAATAGTGTTTTCTAACAAATGTTTCTCGACCAATCAGATTCAACTAATTTACATGAAAGTATAATATTGTCAGATATTCCGTGACGTACCTTCCGCTTTAGTTCCTGTTCGTGTTCTAGTTGTTTCAGGGCCTGCTGTAGGTCCTCCTCTGTAGCATTCTCAGCTTTAGCTGTAATGATATGACAGTGTCATGTTTTGTACATTACATTGAAAATCCTGAGGATGTCATCAGTGAATATAGACTTCAAACACTGTATAAAAAGTTCCCCTTTTAAAACCTTATGTGGGAATGAACTCAAAGCATTTTCCACCAAGACTTGAGATTTATGCTTCTAAGGATAATGATTTTAATAAAGAATTATTATGTTGTTAAATAATAATTTATACAAAGAAGCATATTCTGCAAAATAATAATGAATAAAAAAAAATGTAATAATTTAAAAAAGGTATTAGTCTATGCATTTGATTAAATCATTTTCCTTGCCTATACTAAATAATCATAAAAAATTGAATAAATCCAGTATTAATATAAAATTCAGCTGTTAAAAAATATCAATATAAAGTTTACATGCATATTCATGCTCAGATAATATGTATGGCAGTGCACAGCATTTGCAAGTTTTTAGTCAAAATGGTTACATAATTATATATCAATTTAAAAACATAGGTAATCAAAGATTACGAAGCTCACCTCGACGAATGTTATCAGTTTAAGTAATGCAAATCTCACATCATATTTTCTTAATATTTAGTATTCATCCCAACAACAATATTCTTGCAAGTTGTGTTTAACCCCTTACATGGCATATACACATTTCTATGCATGTAGCGTGAAAAACATGTATAGAGTAAACAAATATTCATAACTGTTAATACTGCAAATATCAAGGACTTCAAGTTCATTCAGATTGATCTGTTCCCAAAACTTTAACCTGGTCTCTTGTTTGGAAAATATAGGTCAGATCCAGCATCCCAAGCAAGTCTTATAGTGTCCATCCTTAGATACATTATCCATGCAAGTTTGGTCCAGGTAGAGGCTTATAGTTACTTGGGAATGAAAATGTAGATCAGATCCAGCATCCGAAACAAGTCTGGTAGTGTCAATCCCTAGATACATCATCCATGCAAGTTTGGTTTAGCTAGGGCTTACAGTTACTTGGGAATGAAAATGTAGGTCAGATCCAGCATCCGAGGCAAGTCTGGTAGTGTCCATCCCTAGATACATCATCCATGCAAGTTTGGTTTAGCTAGGGCTTATAGTTACTTGGGAATGAAAAAGTAGGTCAGATCCAGCATCCGAAGCAATTCTGGTAGTGTCCATCCCTAAATGCATCATCCATGCATTTCATAGATACTTGGAAATGAAAATAAATGTAAGATCCAGCATCCGAGGCAAGTCTGGTAGTGTCAATCCCTAGATACATCATTAATGCAAGTTTGGACCAAATAGGCTTATAGTTACTTGGGAATGAAAATGTAGGTCAGATCCAGCATCCGAAGCTAGTCTGGTAGTGTACATCCCTAGATACATCATCCATGCAAGTTTGGTTCAGGTAGGGCATATAGTTACTTGGGAATGAAAATGTAGATCAGATCCAGCATCCGAAGCAAGTCTGGTAGTGTTCATCCCTAGATGCATCATCCATGCAAGTTTGGTCCAAATAGGGCTTATAGTTCCTGTGGAATGGAGGATCTGCTCCAAAAACTTTAACCTGGTCACTCAACTGGAAAATGTAGGTCAGATCCAGCATCCGAAGCAGGTTTTGTAGTGTCCTTTCCTAGATGCATCATCCATGCAAGTTTGGTCCAGGTTGGACTTATAGTTCCTTGGGAATAGACCTGCTCCAAAAACTCTAACCTGGTCACTCATCTGGAAAATGTAGGTCAGATCCAGCATCCGAAGCAAGTCTGGTAGTGTACATCCCTAGATGCATCATCCATGCAAATTTGGTCCCGGTAGGGCTTATAGTTCCTTGGGAATGGACCTGCTCCAAAAACTTTAACCTGCTCCAAAAACTTCAACCTGGTCAGTCATCTAGAAAATATGGGTCAGATCCAGCATCCGAAGCAAGTCTGGTAGTGTTCATCCCTAGATGCATCATCCATGCAAGTTTGGTTTAGGTAGGGCTTTTAGTTCCTACGGAATAGACCTGCTCCAAAAACTTTAACCTGCTCCAAAAACTTTAACATGGTCACTCATCAAGAAAATGTAGGTCAGATCCAGCAACCGAAGCAAGTCTGGTAGTGTACATCCCTAGATGCACCATCCATGCAAGTTTGGTTTAGGTAGGGCTTATAGTTACTTGGGAATGGACTTGCTCCTAAAACTTTAACCTGGGACGCCAACGCTAACGCCGACACCGACGCCGACGCCGGGGGTATAGCATAAGCTCATCTCGACTTTGTCGAGGTGAGCTAAAAAAGTAAATTGTCCTTCTTGGTTAATAAGCACATTGTGCATCTTGTAAATTTCTGTTTAAAACATTTTTAAAATACCATCATCAATATTTAAAACTGACAGTGTATTCAAATAATTAAAAATAATTTGTGTAAACAGTGAAAAGAAAAGAGAATCAACTGACAACACACATATTTCAAGTTGAAAGTAACAAAATTTCTTTCCGAAATGAAATGGAAGAGTTACACCAATACTTAACTGAAAAGGAATCAATTTGACAATTCATGTTTCTCAACAAAGGCTTATAGAATACTTAGGTACATGCAATTAGTGCATGCCTCATAGTATTAAAGCAAAAAATTCCGAAAAAATGAAAAAAGAGAAAATTTTATCAAACTGGAAACAAAATCTGAATAGTTCCCTCGTGAAATGAACATTTAGCTCATAACTAGAGGATTTAAATGATCTCTCTTTTTACAGTTTATCCTAAATTGCAAAAAATGAAGTTGGTGTATGTAGGCCTATGTCATATCATACAACTCATATGTTATAGATGTAATCAAACATTTCTGCCTATGAATATTAATTCAAATTACAATGCCATCAATGTTTATAATATATGTCATGCAAGTAATGCATTTATTGATTCATAAAAAAGCAAAATAGTTTTTAGTGAGCAAAGGGTGTGTAAATGGGGAATTTAATTTACTGAATAAGGTGCAAAAATGCAAACTTACACTTCTTAACTGAAATATTGACAAAACGAAAGAAAATATTTCTATAATTAAAATGCACAACAGTTACTGTAAAACAAAAATAAGTGTTGGTAAAAAAAAAATACAGTGCAACATGGTTTTGTCTAAGTCTGATGAAAAAAAATATTTAATTATATAAAGCACTAAATTCTTAACCTGAAACTTTTATTGACTGCATAAACTCTTATCCACTAAATGTAGTTATAATCACATAACTGTACAGTAAACAAGCTTATAGTGAATTGCTTATTAATGAATGAATACTTAGAATATCAAAGTGGTTTTCAATCCCCGTGGAATGAAAATATTTTTTAAACTTAATGGAATACATACTAAAAACTTTATAGGAAGCAAAATATTCTAGCCTTAGCACATCATTATAAGCATGACTGTTTTACTGTGAACTGAAATATATACATTTACCACCACTAATTAACCCTTTAACCACAAACAATCTAACGTTTCCCTGTACAAACAACTCAGACAGTAAACAACATGAGCAACATGAACAAGAACCTACCCTCAGCAATTAGCTCCTCTCTCTCTTTCCTCATATTCTCCTCGATGTCCTCCATTGTTTTGTCCAGAACTTCTAAACTGCCCTCCTCCCCTGCTAGATCCGCTCCTGATAACTGGAACAACATCCCCGTCAGGCTGTCAAACCACCCCTCACGCTTAGCAATGCGCTGGACCCTCTTAACTTCCTGTAGATCTTTATCTTCCTAAAATATTAAAATATACAAGATATTAAAAGATGGTATATTAAATAAAACAGTTATGTATTAGAATTAAAAATTCTAATTAAAAATTTCATAATTGCAACAAAATCAATGTCATATGTACATATTCAAGATAACACTGTAAACGTTTAAAGAATTAAAAATGAGCTAGATAAAATATTTTATAAATTTTTGCGACACCTTATTTTCGCAAGAAAGTCATTGACTTTTGATTAGCGATACAATATTTTCACAAATTGTGGTTATTGCTCTATATTTGCATATCCACTGCTCTCTCCCACTATAAACCTGCAGGCTTCAACTGCGTTCATAGTACTATAGACGCAACTGCTTCGGCTACGAGTGCAATTGCTCTATCAACCTCGTGTAGAACAATCTCTACTACACTTGAATACCGTATTGAGAAGTATATATATGAAATGTTTCATGAGAGGAATAAAAATAAGTTTTTAATAATATTCTTTGAAAAAAAAGGAAATTCAGAATATATAAAATTGCTGATTCATATCTTTAAAAATTTAATTTTGGTCAATGTATTTAATTGTATTATAAAACTTTTTAAAAATTTAGAGAACGGCTATATTTTTATTTTTTCGTATCATGCATATTTGTACAAAGAACGATAACTCTTCACACTTGGGTAATAACATTCAGAAAGAGAAATCTACTTCAAGAATGATTTCAGCTATTAAAAATATATAGAAAAACTAAAAAAAAAAAATAGAAAAGCATTCTGGAGTAAAAATCATTATAAAAGCATTCTCATTTTTCATCATAGATTTAAATTATTGATTTTATATCGGAGGGTTACAATAACGTTGATCGATGACGTAACAACTGCATCAAAACAAAAATTAAGAGAATGTGATGACGGCGCTGCTTGTATCCAGATAACTGTGTTTGAGGGGGAAATACTTTATAAATTGTTTGTGATTTATAAGAGAAAAGGATCATTGATCAGGTGTAGTGATTTTAAAGCCGTATGTTTTTCATTACTAAAGACAAGAAGCTGCGTCCTTATGTAAGTCAGGATTTCCTCTGATATTCTTGAAAAACTCAAAGAATGCAAATATAAGTAATAAACAACGATTATTCAGTGAACATGGCATTATGAATAGCAATAGCTCTGCTGGCATATTTTCCATGATGCGCTAGCGCGCATCATGGAATATGCCAGCAGAGCAATTGCTATTCATAACGCCATGTTCACTGAATAACGTTGTTTATTTCTTAAATATAATCTTAAAGAATGCTATTATACACGAGAATTAAATTTTCGCGAGCACACTGTCTTGTGTAATTACGAAAAAAACAGCTTTGTTCTAGAGTTTCTAAAAAGTGATTTACAGTATGTTTTAGAACTGTACAATATTATACACAACACCTACTGTACAATAACTATTATTAAAGATGGTTTAAATAAAAACATCTACATGTATGTATTAGAGTTTTAAAATATCTCATTTTAAAATCTTGTTTAAAGACTATAAACAACATTTTCGCAAATGAAACAAAGATATTTTTGTAGGAATTTAGTCCTTTTCTTTCACAAGGGGAGGAGAATTCTATATCTTGCTAACCTAACATTATGTGTGATACAGTGTATTACCATGTCATGCAAGAGGTTTTGAACAGTTGAGTTTTCTGTAGTCTGCTTCTCTTGAAGGTCAGCCAGTAATGCGACACTCATGTCTTCTGCTCTCTCCTCATCAGACATGTCTGGGTTCTGGGCCTTGTGTGATTGCTCCTCCACTGCAAAAGAGTTCCAATCATCATCATATAAATAACAGTTTTCTTTTAAAAGAACATAATTTACTTGCTTGCAATTTTGCAAGATTGTTGAGATTAAAAATTAATTTCTCATGAATGATAAAAGGTACATGTAATATTTGCTTATTATACTGATGATAACTAATAATCTGGACAATGCTACAAGTTGTGACCATTTAAACTAGTACAGTTTCTGCAATATACATGTACAAGTAAAATATAAAGTGATTTTCAGTGCATTCTGTGACTATAATGTACTTACATTGAAGTTTATAGACCATGGCCTCTACCAATATGGCCTGATGCTCATTTCTTCTTTGTGCTATTTCCTTGAACATTTTGCCTTTTTCTGCTTTTGACATTTTCCCTTCATCAACATGGAGGGCTGCAGCCATTGAGTCTTGTTTCCAGTTTCTCTCATCTTTCTCAAGTTTCAGCAGCTGGGTTTTCAGATCCTGTATTGAAATCAAAGTGTTACATACTAGACTAAGTGTAATTGCTGATTATATCATAACTCGGAATATATTTTTATATGCTTTTAAGTTTTAATGTAAAAATATTGAAGATAAATATATGAGATTATGCATTAATGTTACTGTAAAATCACATATTTTAGTGGGGTCAAATTTTCGTGGTTTGAGGAAAAAATATTGATTTGTGGGGTTTGATTTCGTAGATAAAGCATTTTTTAGCAGTTCTGTATATGAAAATTTATGTTTCGTACGAGGTTGACATAAATTTGTATCTTTACCTTAAAAACAGCGAAAATTACCCCCCCCCCCCCCCCAAAAAAATGTGTGATTTCACAGTGTATAGTATTTCCCATCTTTTTTTGGTACCTGTGTTGACATTTTCTTGGCCTCCCTTATCATGGCTGCACTATTTCTAGCTGTCTGAGTGATATCCATTAATATATTTCTTTCCTCCATTTGTCGCTGATCAAGTGTTTCCAAGATGGCTGTTTGCACAGCTGATCTCTCTGTAAAAAACGAAAATGTTTGATAACTGCTTGTTCATAACAGCTATTATTAAACTCAAGTCTTTTATGAATCACAGATTGGGTAAACTAAGGTGCCCTAATGCCACAAATACACCCTCCTGCCAAACCCCCAACAGAGCGCAATCAAAGCATGCATCTCATCTGCTGCAAGTCTGGTTTCAATACCCTTAGAAAAAACCCAGGAAATGATCTAACCTTTGAATTTGAGATTGCATCATTATGAACTAGACATACACTCTGATGGATGGACAGAAAGACAGACAGACAACTCCTTAGGCCAACCCCCTGTCTAAGTTTTGCTTTCATTGCACAAAGGGGGTATAATTAGTTCAATATCCTCAACTCAATATTTCCTTTAACAGACATTTTCACAGCGTTAGGAACCAATGTTTAAAAACCTTTCATAACAATTCCCTACATCTAGGTATTTTGTTAGAAATGCATGGCAGACAACTTACAAGTTCATCCTACTTTTAATCTATAATGATTGTTTCTATAACTTGCTCCTAATAATAATGACCTGTAGAGTTGGGTTGGACCATGTCCTCCAGTTGCTCCATCTCATCCTCTGTCCTCAGCCTCTGCTCCTCACTGATGTCCTCTTTCTTCTGCTGTTGTTTCCTCCTTCTGGCCTCCAGCCTCTCTCTGGCCAAAGCCTTACTTCTCTCCCTTTGCTCTTTAATACTATAAAATATTTTAAACCTATATAACTGACAAAATGACAAATTTTAAATAATCTTTATCATATGATAAAAAGAACAATGATTGGTAGACTGACATTAACACTGGTGACAATTTCATACTGTAAATCACTTTTTATCCGGGAGAACTTTATTTTCGTGTAATAACGCGAGACGATATACTCGCGAAAATTTCATTCTTGCATATAATAGAATTCCTTAAGAATATATAGGGCAATGACCACAATTCGTGAAAATCTTGCCCTGCTATTAAAAGGTCAATGACTATCTCGCGAAAATAAGGTTTCGCGAAAATTAAGTGATCTACAGTATGTCATTAAAGTGTGAAAAATATTTTTTCCTGAGATCATGCTTCAATGACCTTAATAAAAATTATTCAGATATCAAAAACATTGTACATGTTATATGTTCAACAAATCTTCTCATTCATAATTGATCTAATTGTAAAAAAAAAAAATTATTTTCTAGTTGACCTATTTTGAAATGGGCTTATTGTTGGGAAAAGGTTTTCATGTGTGTGTGTGTGTGTGTTTTTTTTTTTTTTTTTTTTTTTTGGGGGGGGGGGGGGGTGTTAACATATCAATGACTTTATTTGCCTGACCTCTGTTTGTGTTTCTCCTCCCTTTCTCTAGCCTGACTGACAATGATGGCTGCCGACTCAAACTTCTCTTCTCTCGCCAGTTTCCGTCGTTCGTGTTGTAGACGAGCTATGGCCAACTGTCTTTCTCTCTCTTGGTCAATTCTATTATGCTGGCTCCTCAGGGCTTTCAGGAGTTTAGCTTTTTCATCTTCCAGCATAATGTTCAAATTTTCCAACACATTCTAATCAACAGAGAAAATATTTATGCAATAAATGAATAAAGCAAAATGTGTCTCATTATTTGACCTTTCTATGGACAAAGCTTATAAAATACAGGGGAGAGATTATTGAAAATGACAATCTTTAATTATAGAAAACCAAAACAAATGAAATAAGCAAATAAAGTTGAATTTATGTTTTAATCATTTCATCCCATTAACATTTTAACATTGCATGAATCATAATTTTTGCTTTCCATGTCATCACTCTTTGGTGCGTATGTACTCACAATTCTCCTCTGTTTTCCGTGCTCCTTTCTCTCCTCCTCGAGGATCCTGTTGATGGACTCCTCATCTGTAGGCAGTCCCTGCTCCTCTCTCTGTCTGATCAGCTCCTCTCTCCTCTTCTCTTCATCCTCCTCATCCTCTGGTCCAAGAATCTGGTCCAACACTAGAATGGAAAGTCAAAGTGAATTTGCTATTTTAACCCCATTAAAAAATGTCATTGTTTTCCTAAAAAATGTTATTCAAATGCTTACATGCATATTTACTTTACTCTCAATATCTATTTCTGACAGATTGGCAACAAAATAACATGACCTAGCTCCTAAAATAATTTGCTAAAACTTAACTTTTCCACAACCAATATTGCCCACTTTTCTTATTCAGCATTTAAATTAAAATTAATGTGACAATGCATGCCCAAACAATCTTTACTATGGCAAAAAATATCTGAAATATACAATCATATAACCATAGAAAAAAAAAAGTTTATTACATTCATCATTCTCCAGAACTTTTTCAAAGATGGCTGCAGCTTCCTCTACATTGCCTTCCTGTCTGAGTTTTCTTTCCTTCATCTTTAGTTCCACAATCTTTTTCTGTTTCTCACTATCAGACAGCTTGTTCCATTCATCCTCACCCATTTCCTCTTTCAAAGCCTGTTAACAAAATAATACATTGGGTTTGTATCACTTTTTATTTGCAGGAATTTGAATTTTTATCAATTGGTTTTGAATGAAGAAAACTTATGAAAGCTAAATTTTGTGTTTCAGATACATGATAAAAACTAGTATGCTGAAAAAAATGAATTAAAATATTAATACTGACAATTTATTTCATTATTTTCTTGAATATACAGGTACATGTACTTACTGCTTCTATGAGTTTATCCTTCAGGGCATCATATTTCTGCTCTAATGCTTCTAGCAATTCCTGCTCACCATCCTCAGATTTGTCTCCTTTTGATTGGTTGAGCAGGACATGTGACACATTGTCATGGAGACCTTCTTCTTCCACCATTGACTGCATTTTTACCATTTGCTGTAGTGTTCCAATATCCTATTACAAAAAAATAGACAGATATGTAGTATATGATAAAAATACCCTGCAATATTGTGATCAACTTATTTCTGCAGAATTTCTTCTCCACTGCTTATGATTTATGCTCCTCCATATTTAACACTGTTGATGGTGGTCAAGGGACATAACTTTTGAAAAAGTGTGGATTCAACTACTGATCATAAGTTAAGACTTTATTTTAAACATTATTTAGCATGCTGAATTCCTGGAATAGCATGTCTTCAATTATAACTTTTTTTTTCAAAATTTAACACACGTACACCCTGATATCTAGAACAAAGTCTCATAGTCCCTGCAAGCCAAAGTGAATATAAATCATACCTTCTCCTCTAGATTAGACAAAATCATAGCTGCCTCTGCATCTTGCCACATTTGAAGGTTAGACAGGATGTGAACTTTGACCTCCTCTTCAGTTTTAGTTAGCCCCTCCTCTTGCTGTTTGTGAAGTTCTGATTGGATCAAATAACATGCTGCCTCCTGAAAAAATTCACATTATTGCAATTTACAAATATGCAATAAAATTTACTTTATCATATCTCTCTTTCAAAAAAAATTGCTAACAAAAAATGAGATATTAAAGGAAATCATTTAATATGTTTATTTAGGGAATGAATTAAATAACCCAAGTTATTCTGTATAACCTGGGTTGTGACAGTTTACGCATTAAGTTGACAGGATTTTCTGTAACACAGCTCAACTAAAAGAGCCATTTCCATGCTAGTACATTTTTATCAAAACCCTGTCAATTAACCCCTTACATAGCATATACGCATTTCTACGCTTCTGACTTGAAAAACAAGTAAAAATTTTGTGTTTCCAAGAAAAAACATATATACATAACTTTGTTTTAATAAACTTATATATCAGAGGAAATATTATTTGGCCAATAAATCATGCACCGTTGGAAATAAAAATTTTTTGTCAAATATGAGTAAAATAATATATAAAAAAAATATTTCCATTGGTTGTCATTTTTTTGCTAGCTTGACGTAAAACTTTGCCACTATTTGTACCGATTTTGCCAAAATTATCAAATATATTCCCACACATTATCCTTTGGAATGCCTAACAAAGTTAAATTATTGTAAAAATTATTTGTATTTCCAAAGGATAAATTCTGGGGTACTGTGAACATCTGAACCCTACCCATGTACCTCACCCTCCTATAAATACTTAAAATTGGTTTGTAAAAAAAAATGTACATGTTCAATGGCAATTTTCAACACAACATATATAAATTAAATTTTATTCAGTGGAATACAATTAACAAAGCAAAAAAACTAGAATGAAACTCATTATTTAATAAAAAATGGAAATTTCTTTTGCACTTTTTAACAAAGATTAGGAAAGTTTATTAAAATTCTGTGAAGCCTCATTTAATTTCATTCAGTGGTAAATTGAAATTTTGTATCAATCGGATTTCAGAACCAACACAATACCTGCTTTCAGAATATATATACATTGGTACATACAAAAATTACAAGAAATACCCCCAAAAATGCATTGAAATCTTAATATCAATCTGTCTAGAAATTCTTAAAATCTTTGCCATGGAAGAGGTTAAATGACACACAGTTTTTACTCCACTTACTTGTAGAATCTTCATCTGTTCCGTTGCGGTGATTCAGATTTGTTGCCTGTCTCCAGTGTTTACGTACGCTCCGCCAGCAAAAAGTCAAACAGTTTATCACTGTACATAAGCCTTCTCACTCAATTTATTTTTACACCTTTGAATGTATTTCTGCTTCATTTCACTGGTTGAAGCATCATCTAACAACTGTCAAAAATAAATGGAAACTTTTGAATGTTTGCATGACAGTGTCTAGGAACAGTACTTTGTTTGTGTGCAAAATGCTTGTTTAAGTTTAAGGCTAAGTTGTAGAAAAAGGTCATGAGGGCCATTATTTGAACCATTACTTGACATGTCATAATTAATGAATACAAATAGCCTTTATTAAAAACAAACAATATTTATGTTCTCCCTCTTTTCTTTCAAAATCAGACATAAAATAAGTTATTGTAGAACTAGATTTCTGCATTTTATTAATTTAAACTATGTGTGTGTCAAAAAATTTTCACAGAAATTCGACCCTGCATATATATAAAGTACATTTTAAGCATACAGTGGTAGTTTTAAAATCTGCATAATTTTCTACCCATTGATTCAACAGAGAATGTGATTCCTTGGAATTATGATGTTATGGGAAAAAGGTACATTTTCAGTAACTTTGTTTTTTTAAACCTGTATCAGTAGATCCCTTTCATGTCTGTGGCGTCTGTCGACGGCCATGTTCAGTGATTCCTGTAACTCCACCCTATCATCTGTTTCATGGTTGATGGCCTCCTCCGGAGTTGTCTTTCCCTCCCTTCGTCTCCGTCGTGCTGCCTCAATTCTCTCCTTGGCCAGTCTTTGTTGTCTTAATTTCTCCTCTTCTGTGGCCTCTTGTTGCCTTGGGAAAAAAATTAGGTCAAGGAAACTACATTAGCTTTAATTTAGAATTCTTAAAAAGTTGTGTTCAAAACATCATCATGAAAGAAATTTTACATGGGCACCGCCCTCACAAAAGGGCACATCTATAAAACAAAACAGCATTTAACATTAACATAAATCCAAATGCAAATTGCAAAATTTCTGTAATGCACCTAAGGACAAACAATCCCCCTCTCCCCCCACACATTTGTGTTACTACTTATGTCCCCTCTCTTTTGAGGGACTTACAAAAATATTTTTTTTTTTTTAAGTACAAAATTAATGTTTTTATATTTTATAATCAAATTGGTTTATCAGTAACTCTCACTTTTTCTTGTTTTCCTCTGCTAACCCTAACACTAGAGCTGCTGAATCGAACTTGTCCTCATTTCTAGCCTTGCGTTCCTCTCGCTTTAATTTCAACAGCTGGAGTTGTCTGGCTTTCTCCTTTGCAAGTCTGTCATCTCCTTGTCCAATCTGTCTTAACAATTCCTCCTTTTCCTAAAATCAAAAGAAACTAGAAGACTACAAGAGCTATACATGTACTCTAAGCACTGAGTTCACAAAATAAAACCCCCTACCCTGATATGAGTATGATGACTAAGTCCATATGAATTTTGGAAACCCTGAATATATATCCTAACAACAGGTAAAAATTATTTCTTTTTGAGATGTATATATCATACCCTTTTCCAACAACAGGTGAAAATTATGTTCTTTATACAGGATGTGATATATGTGGAAAAGGGTGTGTTTTATTATTTTTATTACATACTTACATTGTAGTTATAAAATACAGTGCATATTAAGTTGAGAAGAAAATAAATGAATAATCATGCACTGACTTCATGTACATGTACACGGTCTATAATGTCTCATATGGTTTGGGTTTGATTCTACATGCACTTCTATTCCAAATGTGCAATCCGCACATTATTTGTAATTTTCACATTCAAAAAATTAAAATTAAGAGATTTTCTACAAAAACAAAGCAAAATAAATGGTTGTGCAGCGATTAATATTCGTGCAGGGCTGATACAGCTATTGTGACCCCAGGCATATCGCAAATGCAAATATTCTGTATTTATTACAAAGCATGTAATCAAATGGATTATCAAATAATTCTCCAGTGCGATTATACTCTTTAGAAATTGTGATAGCATCATACTATTAAAGCATTACCTTTTCAAATCGATGTTCCAGATCTAGGAGGATATTCCTCCTTTGTTTCCTCTCTTCCTCTTCCTCCTCCTCTATTTCCTTCCTCTCCAACTCCTCACACTCCTCCTCAGACATTCCTGTATAAAGGATTTACAAAATTAATACAAACAAATGCATGAATTTTAGTTTTCAAATCACTTATTCATATAAATGCAAAAACAACCCCAAATTTTCTTATTTTCGGACTATATTTGATACTCAGTGTGGAATCACCATAACTCTTAATTAGCAAGACAAAATTTTCAAGAATTGTGGTTAATTACCCTATATAATCTACAAGCTTAGGAATTTTAATATATGTGTGAATTTGAATCCTTTTTGTAAAACACTACATGTTTTCTTGAAATTAAATCCAACTGAATCAATAAAAGTTTGCTTTCTAATAAACTTTGATCCCAACAAGTTAAGTTGATTCCAGAGTATTATTCTATGTATTGAATATATCTTAATTTTAATTTTTTTTCTTGCTTACTCAAACAGAGTTATGTACCTTGAGCCAGCCTCTTTTTCTTTCTCTCCAGCCTCTCTCTGAGTTTCCTTTGCTGCTCCTCTTTATTTTCTCCCATCAGACGCTTCAAGGTCTCCTGGTTCTCCAGTGCATCACCTGTTTATATGAAGAATAAACCATACAGATATTTTTTTACTTTTATTGTGTCTATCGGTTATGGAATATCCATATCCTGAAGACATAATTACACCAAAGGGGGGAGAGAGAGATAACTCTCTTTACGAAATCAAATACAGAAACATTTCTTTGATATGTGCTGCAATTAAACTAAATGTTACATGTATTTCTCAATCCAATGTAAATATCAGTGAGTATAAATCATGCATTGTCATTACCTAGAATCTGTGAGATTTCATCAAATTTCCCCTCTCTTCTTAGCTTCCTCTCTTTCAGTTTAAGTTCCATCATTTTCTTCTGTCTTTCCAAATCTGTCAATCTTTGCCATTCAGACTCTCCAAGCTTTCAATAGTGGGCAAAAAAAAAAAAATGAGCATAAGTCTAGCACAAATTGTAGAGTAGAACACGCCCATAACGATATGCTATTTTGCCTCACAATAAACAAATCATTTATATCTTTCAGTTTTACAATCATATTTTTTAAGCTTTGGTGAACATAGTCACTTCACTGTAATTGCTAATTCATAATAGGCATGATCCTTATATGCATGCTTTACTGTACACACATGAATTATTTAAAATGTTTGGAAATGACTTTTTTACATAAAAATTTAATACACTCAATATAATAGTCATTTTTTTTTTTTAATATGACTTTGTTGCATACATACCTGCTTGATTAGGGCCTCAGCCAGTAATTTATCCCTCAGTGCATCATATTTCCCCTCAAGGGCCTCCATTAAGTCAGTATCAGTGCTGACCTCCAGGCACATTTCAGGGGAGAAAACTATGTATGCCACATTTTCTCTGCTATTCTGTTTGCGATCATTTATTTGGGCTAACTGCATTTTTTGTAACTCCTCATTTTCCTGTGATTTAGAAAAGTATCAAATAATTAAATTCCTATTCAGAGAAAATATTGGGTACAGGAGATTTAAAATATTATTTTGGAAATCTCTTCTGATCAGTTGAAATGTGTACAATATTACATACCGATATTTGAAAAATATAAATTAATATGATAATAAATTGAAACAACTAAATTGTATTTTTTGTCTTTTAAATCACAAACCTTTGGATTTACCCGTTTTTTGCTAAAAGAGGTGAAAACGCACAAGTCTGTTCAATATTTACTATATATGCACTGCATTTCTCAAGTCTTAAACTTACTTAATAGCTAGTCATCGTCGCAAACCATGGGTTTTGAGTCCACAAGCTTCCTCAAAATGATAGAATCAATGTGAATCACCGGTGGGTTACCGATGATGAATAGCTAGTAAATGTATATTCATATGTTTTAGATTTGGAAATCTGACCTTTGACATGAACTCTTGCAGCAGTCTCTCAGCCTCCCTGTTCTGTGTGAGGAATAATTCTGCCATCAAGGCTTCATGGATGTCCTTATCCGTGGCTTCTTTTTTCTGATCACTGCTCATCCTCTGCCGACAAAGTTCACGTTTAATCACCATACCCTCGTATAGAATCCCATCATGTTCTTTTTGCTTCTCTGTAAAATAAAATAGCTAGCATAAGTTTTATACAGACATCTCTCTTCTGATAGTAAAACAAAAGAAATGGTCAAGCTAGGACCACAAAAAAAAAAAATAAAAATAAAATGATTAAGACTTCTTAAAAATCAACTGAAGATTTTAAAGATATATTTCCTAAAGGTTTTATGACTGTGTTTCTTTTTTCCATATAATTAAAATGAAAAATGAATTTGAAAAAAAAATGAACATATCTCTTGTACATGTATGATAAACTGACAGATAATGACTTTTTATGTTGTATACCTGTATTTCAGTAACATTGACTTTACCTATAGGAAGTGCGTCTCGTTTTGACTGAAGCCTTGATAGCTGGTCCTTCCTTTGCTGCTGTGACATCATCATCACTTCCTGATGGAGTTTCTGATCAACAATCATCTCAACAAGAAGCTTGAATTGATCTTGTTCAGTCTGGTGCTTAAAGTCCAGGAATTCAATAACTGCATTCTAAAAGAAAAAGTTACAAAGAGAGGATGTATTTTAATTTATAAACTTTTTAAACAATCAAATAACTTATTATTTGAGTGATTTTAAATTAAAAAGAGTTCACTTAAAAAGAGACTCTGGAATTTCAAGCTAATTAATTATAATTTATTATTTGAGTGATAACATCTGGGACAGAAAACAGAACCAAATAACCTTCTCTAAACTACCCCCTCCCCTACCCCCAAATAAATAAAGTTAACGTAAACTACAAATTTAATAGAGTGCACTTAGAAATAAACTCTTGAATTTTATGTTTAATTTTTAACAAAAATTTAGAATCTCAGTTAATTACGGCAACTTTAGATTATTTAGATCACTTCTGTGTGAAAATGTAAATTTGACTCACCATTTGAGTGATGAGGTTTTGATCCCTTATGACCTGATCTTTAGATGTGATCTTCTTGTTTTCAGCTGTTAGTCTGTGTTTGGCAAGTCTCTCATATCTAGCTTTGTCTCCAACCATTCTGCGTGAAAATGTAAATTTTTTTTAAAAAATTGAAAAAAAAAAATAGCCATCACAATTAAATCAATTCCATTTAAATAATTGAACTTTTGAATTCAATGTTTGAGTTGATTTATCTTGAATCAATAGCTATACATGTATCTCGATTACCATGTATAATTATGTAGAATTAAGTTCACTTGGATGTTTCAGCATCACATTGTTTATGTATTTTACTCTTCATGGTTTTTATCTTTGGTCCAATCCAGTTTAATATAATGAGGTTTGAATATATATGTATACAACACATCAAAAAGGGAGAATTTATCAATCAAACAGAAAACTTAAATACAGTACTGTAATAATTTAAAAATTCCATACTAGCTGTCTGGAAATTATATCCAATGGTATGATAAACATACTTGCATGGAGATTTAAAAAGAAACTTTCTCTTTAAATTTGATATACATTACCTTGGTTTTCCATCAACCATCTGCCTTTCAGCTACTCCAACAAGCGTAGCTGAGATCGAGAATCTGTGATCATGACTACAGAGTAATGTTTCCCTGGTGATTCGTACAATACAGATTTGTTGTTCCCTCTCACTCATATACTCTTCCTGTAATCCTACAAAATGCAATCAACTTTGAATTATAATGAGAGAAAATATGTACTTCATAACTGGGATGGTAAATGGGGGGCAGGGGGTGTACATGCATAGTGGATAATAAATGTAGCACCTAATCAATAAAAATTCGTTTCACAGATTTCTTAAAGCATTATAGCAATTTCTTTTTTAAAGCAATATGAGTTGCAACTATGATGTCGGAAATTTTTGCTGCAAAATTGAAATAAACTATTTTAGTGAGAGAGAAAAATTACATTTATAAACTTCTTTTGTTCATATTTGCCATTGAAGAACTTTTTTAGCTTTGATTGAAGCAAAATTATATTATTGTCATCCTGTACAATATTGATTTCTCACATAATACTATACATTCGATTGTACAGAAGTCTTTCCTCTGAAACATTTTCATACATTTTTTTTAGTCAAATGCATCAAAAAGGTTTAAACTACATACAAGTTTATCATAATAATTTTAATTTTTGAGCAAATTAAAATTCCCCAAAATGCAGCTCATATTGCTTCAAAAATCAAAATATGAATATGAATTTTTTTTTATGTTCAAGGGACCATTTTGTTATCATTTTAGTTTGCAAACATGCTATAACATGGTATGCATATAACCACCTTTTAGTTTCTGCAGTAGATTCTTCTTCTCTGATTCAAACCTCAGCCATAAATTCAGTAGTGGGTTCTTCATAATCTGTTCTTCTTCGGCAGGTTCTGATATAAGGTCCTCTGTAGAAATAAACAGATAATCAGTGTCGTAAATCTTTATAAGGGATGTATTCAATCAAAGTGTTCATACACTGTAAATCAATTATTTTTCTGGGCATATTTTCTTCAAGATTCATAAGTTGAAATCTATCTAATGATATAAGTGTAAGCTTGGTGACTGAATGAAGCATTTAATGCATGAGTGCATGAAAAGACAACATTTAATGATTCTTTGCTAGATATTTTCATGAGAAAAAAGATTTGAGGGGTGAGAAATTCTAAGAGATTTCTTGTATACAATATTTTATTTACAGTACATAAAAACTTATTTTAGAAAAGAAATGAACACTAAATAATTATTGATAATATACCTTCTGTGTGTCTGGACAGCTCTAGGAAATGAAATCTAGGAATTCCTATAATGCTGATCAATGTCTTGTCCAAATGGAAACCTTCCAGAACCTCAATCAAACCCACATTATTTCCTGAAAAAACCAGGAATTAAAACAATTACATGTTTTAATACAATGGATTTTTTCATATGTCAAAATCTTAGGGATTTTAACAGATTTGTGTCAGGTACAATGAAAATAAATTTCTATGTCTTACAACTGTTTTTCTGTTTTCAATTTTTTTAAAAATAATTTTTTACAGTCAGCAAAGATTTATTTCACTGAGTCCATAATATGGCAAAATAATCTGTAAATGTCTCATTGCCATAACATGAATTTGCATGTGGCCTGCTGATCAAGAGCATTTAAGTATTTTTGACATGTGAAAATAGAAGCAAGAAATTTGAGCTTCTTGCAAAATTATGTAATCAAAAATTCCTTGAGTATATTTGAGAATCCACATATCCCAGGGGTAACTACCCTCCTTCCTGAAGCTGTCCACTTTTTGGGTCAGTTCTTGGATATGACTCTGTTTCTCCTTATCCCCCATCTTGACCCAGGCTGTCTCCCCATGCTTGTGAATGAGGCAGTCCACCAAGATTTTGGTCTGAACACTCTCATATTTCTTATGAAGTGCCTGTCAAATAGAATAACAAATTATGTTACTGAATATAAATATACATTAATTTTATACACTGAAAAATCCCTCCTCAAAAGGACTTCAAGGCATGCTTTGATGAGCCTTATTCAGTAAGATCACTAAACAATGTCAATTTTGAGAGTTCTCAAACATAATTTCACACACACACAAACACACATTAACTTCAAAAGTTCCTCTAGAAACTTTTTTAAGATACAATCACATACACCTCAAGATTATGGTCACAAACTTGCTTTATAAGCTTGTACTCCTCTAAAAGATAAGATTATATAAGGCCATTTAACAAGCTCAAATTCATTACAATTTTTAAGATCACTGCGATAAGCTTTCTACTTTCTACATAAAAAATAAGTACCTCCAAATGTCACCTTTAAATGCTCACCTTGATAAGCTCTTGTTCATAGGTTTTACTTTCACTTTGGGTGAGCACAATAAACACGTTGGGGAGAGTTTTATTTGCTCTCTTGTCTTTCTCCTCAGTTCTAAGGTCTTGTAATTCATCTTCTTTCTGCAAATCATAAAGACATTGATGTGTACAATCAATTCCTCTATTCACAATGTTCTCATATTAGACCATACTATATGAATTTGAAATATTCAAATGAGTGTAACTGCTGTTTAAAATCTTTTGACATCTTGTTGGGTTATAAGCTGTTTTCCAAAAATATGTTCAAACAACTAATTTTGAAGAATTAAAGTTTCCATGTTACATGTAAAATGACACATATCTGAATGATCATTGACAGTGAATTTCAAACAAGAGGCCCAGGGGCCACAGCGCTCACCTGAGCACATCGGGCTTGAATTTACCCCCCCCCCTCCAGGTGTTCATCATTTGAACAAACTAGAATCTACACTACCTGAGGATGATTCCATATATATATCACTAATCATAGCTTTGAAGTACTTGAAAAGAAGATTTTAAAAGGTTTCCCTATATATCCCTAAGTAAAACTTGGGTCGGCCATTTTGGCCCCACCCTAGCCCCAGGGGTCATGATTTGAACTAACTTGAATCTGCACTACCTGAGGATGATTCCACATGAATTCCTCTTTCCTGGCCCAGTGATTCTTGAGAAGGATTTTTAAAGATTTTTTCTATAAATTCCTATGTAAAACTTGGGTCAGCCATTTTGGCCCTACCCTTGCCCCGGGGTCATGATTTGAACAAACTTTAATCTACACTACTTGAGGATGATTCCATATGAGTTTCATCTTTCCTGGCCCAGTGGTTCTGGAGAAGAAGATTTTTTAAAGATTTTTCCTAAATATTCCTAGTATGTAAAACTTGGGTCGGCCATTTTGGCCCCACCCTTGCCCCGGGGGTCATGATTTGAACAAACTTGAATCTACACTACCTGAGGATGATTCCACATGAGTTTCATCTTTCCTGGCCCAGTGGTTCTGGAGAAGAAGATTTTTAAAGATTTTTCCTATATATTCCTATGTAAAACTTGGGTTGGCCATGTTGGCCCCACCCTTGCCCAGGGGTCATGATTTGAACAAACTTGAATCTACACTACGTGGGGAGGATTCCACATGAGTTTCATCTTTCCTGGCCCAGCGGTTCTGGAGAAGAAGATTTTTTTTTAAATGCCATTAATTTTTAATAAATTCATGATTATCTCCCCTTGGAAAAGGGCGTGACCCTTCATTTGAACAAACTTGAATCCCCTTAACCCAAGAATATTTTGAGCCAAGTTTGGTTGAAATTGGCCCAGTGGTTCTTGAGAAGAAGATGAAAATGTGAAAAGTTTACGCTGACGACAACGACAGACGACGGACAAATTTTGATCAGAAAAGCTCACTTGAGCCTTCGGCTCAGGTGAGCTAAAAAGCAATAAATATCACAAACTTTATCAATTTTTTTTCTTTTGAAAATCTTTTTTTATCCATGCTTACCAGATCCACAATATTTTCCAGGATGCCGGCAATTTCTTTATCCTGTTCTTCCTGCAGCTCCTTCAGTACGGAGATTATGACGTCGTCTTTACTGGGCTCCCTCCTGGTCTCTGCAAGGATTTCTCTCCTCTTACAGACGGCTCTTATAGCCACAGCTTCCTCCAGAATAGACGTGTGCTCATCTTGATCATCTGTCAAAGGTAAAATCAATAAAAATGACGAAATTGCTAATTTTTTGTTGGGGTTTTATTTACATTCCGGGATGGGGGAAGAGTGTTTTAGTTGTTTTTGAGGTATATAGAGATCCATGAATTTATGTCCACCATGAAATATAATTTTTCAAAAAATTCATATTACTACTTTGCAATTTTTCATCCATGAAATTAGATCCCATTGAACCCATATTTTTTTTCTTTAAACCAAAAAAGTTGGACCCCTTGAAAATATGTTCTTTTATGTACCTTGTTTTGTACAATCTCATGTACATCAAACATTTTGGAAAGAAAAGATTTAAAAATTGTGTTGATCTTTAACTTTGGCCAAAATATTTTATTATGAGTATCATGTTTTAAATTCAAATTGAATGACAATAAACATTAAGAAATGCCAAACTACAATGGCACCACTTATACAGGAAACACAAGACAGGTAGTACAAGTTCAAAGTATAACTTTGTTAATCTGTATTATATTTATCTTTAAATATTTACCTTCGTTTGATAGATTTAGCCTTCTGCGCTTGGCGTGAAGTTCAGCCAGGCGTGACTTGGACTCCTGTTCTGACATCATGGCTGCCGCCTCCTTCAGATCCTCCATACTGTCATCCTGTAGGAAGTGCAATAAATTCTCCCTCTCCTCCTCATGACGCACTAACACCTCCCTCAGGTAGGACAATTGCCAGCCTGTTGTATCTCCTACACAGAAGTAGAGGACAGTGAAATAAATACATGTATATGTACTTTTATAGCAAATAGGCTAGGATTATTATATGTTACCGCTGAACTTCTGTATCTAGAACACTGACATCTCAGAAACAATACAGTGAGTTAGAAGTCTCAAACCCATAATATTTCTGTACATGTATTAAATCTCCATTATCTCAAACCTTCAGATATCTGGAAATGTTTTCTATAACAAGTAAGTCTTTACCGTGAGGAGGATCGTGGGTCGTAATCAGCCTCTTCTCATATCCCTCGTTCTGTTGTAACCTTTGACCCCTCAGCTGAGTTCTCCTCTTGGCCAGGTCTCTCTGTCTCACATTGTCTGTGGCATGTCTGCAATAAATCAGTCATTATCCTCTTATTTTATTAAAGAATCAAGTTCCCTCCCCCCCCCATCCTTTAAAGGCTTTGTTCTATACATGAACTGATAAATATTTTCACCTCAATTAGATTAATTGCTTGTTGGCTAAGAACTAAAACATACTATATGGACACCGATAATAATTGTTTCCATACTTCTACACACAATTCTTATCAATAATATTTCTTATAAACATAATTATTTTGGTATGATTGTTAAATTTTCACCTTCCATGAAGACTGGCTAAAACCCTCTCTAGCAAGCCAACAAACATGGCCGCCACTTCAAAATCTTCCTCCATTTCAGCTGCACAGGATTCGAGCTTCAACTGAAGCATTTTGATTCGTTGTTGTTTGATGTTCAGTGATTTTGTCTGGGGACTGTTTAGCCACATGACCAGGGCATCCAGTTCTTCGTCATAGCGAGGGATCAAATCAGCCAGAACATTTACTGGGTCAAAGCTTCCCTTGCTTGTTTCATCTAATTAACATTGAGAAATCTTTACTTAAGTTATAAGTATATCAATATTTTAAACCAAATCAGATTGCTTCTCATATTTCCCAATCATGACAAGGAGCAAACGGCGGGTGTTACATATTCAGCAGGGGATTTTTTATTGTCATGGCACTTCTCACCTCTGGTGTTTTGGAGGTCCATTTTTGCTCGGCTCCAATTTTTTGTCTTATGGACTTTTGAGCTTGAATACCGTTTGTTATCTCCATATATTTCACACATGAAATCTTATACAATGTTGTTATTAAATAAATATATCTTCAAACATTTTTGTGATTGTCGATTTGTTTTTCCACTGTGATTAATTTTTTTTCTGTGTATTAATAAATTTAATCATACCTAGGACCTGACCTGTTGCTTTTTGTTTCATGAATCTGGCTTCAAATTCACCTCTTTCTTCTCCCATGAGCTTTCTCAGGGTAGGCAACATCTACAAAATAACTTCTGTATGAATCATAATTGCACTATATTTTTTACAATTAGTCCCATGAATAATTTGAGACCATTGATCCATCCCACTTTACCTTGGTTTTTATGTTTCAGTCTATCCACCCTCTATACCCTGGCTTTCATTTGCGTTTAGATCCACTCCACACTTCAAAATAGCTTTATGTTACAGTCCTATTAGATCCACCCCTGATTAACTTGGCTTAAGTTTGAGTCCTAGTAGACCCACTCCTCACTACCTTGGCTTTATGTTTGAGTCCTAGTAGATCCACCCCTCATTACATTGGCTTTATGTTTGAGTCCTATTGGATCCACCCCTCATAACTTTGGCTTATGTTTGAATCCTATTATATCCAACCCTCGTTACCTTGGCTTTATGTTTGAGTCCTAGTAGACCCACCCCTCATTACCTTGGCTTTATGTTTGAGTCCTATTAGATCCACCCCTCATTACCTTGGCTTTATGTTTGAGTCCTATTAGATCCATCCCTCATTACATTAGCTTTATGTTTGGGTCCTATAAGATCCACCCCTCATTACCTTGGCTTTATGCTTCAGTCCTATTAGATCCACCTCTCATTACCTTGGCTTTGTGCTTCAATCCTATCAGATCCCCCATCTCTCCCACACTGCCTGTTCCCCTCAGCCTTTTCTCTTGTTTCCTTCTGTCTTTTAGCTCCTTCCTTCTTTCTTTTTCTGTCATTCTACAAAATGATTCATGGTTAACATGTGATAATTTAAAGAATGGTTCATATTTGTAAATTCAGACATTCATCTTTCATATTCAGATTTTTCCCCAAAATGTTGATTCATTGTATGGATGAATCACTGAAAATAAGAAAACTTAACAAATACCCAGCTGACCAGTGGGCAATGGGATACTATAGTAATAAATACACAGAATCAGACTTTAACCAAAATGTCAGATACTCAATTTTAAATCTTAAATTCTTTTAAAGAGGTCTTCCTCAAACACACCAAATTATCTTTGTACTATAAAACAATTTTTTTCATCCATAATCTGAAGCAATATACAATTTTCACAACTGTTTCATTAATAATTTGCATTAGAGTGCTATATATAAATAAGTCCTTGGTAGTGGGAGGATTGATTTAACGTTCCTCTTGAGAATTTATCACTCATATGGAGATGCCACTACTTGCCAGTGGAGAGCTGCAAATTTTGTCTCTTAACTCGGCACTCAAGGCCATTGAGCAAAGAGGGATCTTTTTTGTGCCAGCACCTACTGCAACATGGGACCTTTTATACAATTTTTCCATCAATAATTTGCTTGTCCCACAGTAAGATTCGAACCTGCGACATAAGGATCAACTCCTTGCTTCGCTACTCTAAAGCAGACGCTTTAGCCACTGCTCCATGCTGGGGTTTACTGTACACTGTGTTATTTTTCACCTCCAGTTATTTTCACATTTTCACACAATTTTGCTCCATTTTAAATTCACCCTGTCACACTTCTGTTTCAGAAGTTAAATTGGTTTTTATTTTTCACACTTCTTGAATTTGCCATGTGTGAGTAGGAAAAAAAAGTGTGAAAATAAAATGGCAGAAAATTTTCCTGTAAACAGCATTTTAAAATTTGCTTATGACTTGTGACAATTACTGTATACTGTTTACGACCTGTTTTATTTTTTGCACTTACACTTACAAACAATTTTGCCCCGTCTAAAATTTGTCCAGTTACAGTTCTGTTTAAAACTGTTACAATACTGTATTCTTTGAATTCGCCCCGTTCTAAATTTGCTCAACCGAGGGTAGGGCAAAAGAGGCTATAATAAATTAGGGCAAAAATTTCCCTGTATACAGTAATTCTCTACCCATACCTCCTCCATTCTCCCTTCATTTCATCCCTGAGGCCCATGAGGAGGACCTTGTCCCTGAGGGCATCGTATTTCTCCTCAAGCGCCTTGGTGTATTCCTTGTCACCCTCACTGATCTCTATGGTTCCAAGGACCACAAAGGCCACATTGTCAAAGTGCTCCTCAATCCTCTGTCTGTTGGTGGTGAATATCACCTTCACAAGTTCGTCTTTTGTCTGTAATAAAAAGACACATAATTATATTTTGCTTGTGCTATTTAAAACCTACGGGTGAAATTAATAATCAATCATTTGTCAAAAATTTGTATTTTTAAAACAAAGTTGTTTGCAATATATCAAATGTAAATGTCCACTTTTAAAATTAAAAAAATTGATAAAGAAACCCATGGGTGGCACCACTTCTTTTCAAAACAAAACTATCATGAGAGGCAGGGGGTGTGTTTAAATACCTATAAAACTCTGAAAACTATGTTTACACTGTAATTTATAAGAGAAAAAAAATAACTTTTTGACTATCTTCCAACTGTTTTTTTTTTAATATTAGATTCATTTGGCTTTCTACAAGAATCTTTTATTAACCTTGTGATAGATATCCTCCATGACATTCTGGAATTCCCCTTCCTGTCGCTGCTGGAGGTCGGCCAGGACTGCCTCGTTAGTGTCGTCCTCTGATACCTTGGCCTGCAGCTCCTGTAACTCCACTTTCCTGTTCTCATAGTACAGCCCCATACCTACAACAAAATAGACACAACTGTAAGTCACTTTTTATTCACAAGAACTTTTTATTTACATGAAATTCCCAAACCATCTGCTTGTTAAAACTCATTCTTGCATACCATTCTACATTTTAAAGCACTTGTCTTCCATAAAGTCTTTTTAAATTTCTTTCTTTACCTTCAAGCAGTATGCTATGTAGGACTTCACTGTTGTCAGATTTGCTGTTTTTCCAGTTGGTATGTCTGTTACGCAGTGTCTTCAGTAATTTATTCCTTTCTCCGGCGGTTATTGATTTAGCTACAGCTTTACTGTTCTCACTGTCTCGACCTTGTAACATTTGTATGGCAGCCTGTTGAAAATAAAAAGAGGAGGAAAATTGAAGAAAGTTTTTAATTTGTCTTAATATACAGAGCAAGAGAGTAAATGTACCATAGAAAGAATATAACTCTAAGTGATATCTCATTATCTGTCATTGATTATTGCAAAATTAATTATGATATTATATTAATATATAAATTTATTCAACACAAATGTCTTAATGATTTACATCCTAATGAATTCAACGATCTGTAAAACTATTATAATTTAAGTTCATGCATACAGCAAAATTTATTTATCCACAGAAGAGGCAAGAAGTAATTTTAGCAGATACTGTGTATGTGTATTTGGAAAGAAGCTTGATTAGCGAAAACAAGGTCATGTATGATACCTCTCTCTCATATTTGTGCTTTTCTACCAACTCCACCACCAGTTTTTTCTGTAGATCCACCACTCCCATTTCCTCCATATGGTCAAGGTCGCAATAGTTCTGGGGGGATTTGATTTGTTTTCTACCTTTCTTGGCCTGTAGTCGAAATTTAGCCAGGTTCTCACTGCGAAGTCTATCCCAATCTGTAAGCCTGTGCATACCATACAGTAGAGATTTATTCATTAACCTTACATTATACTATTGCACTATACATTCCTTTACGTAGAGAAAAAAAAAATTAACCTATGGAAATAAGCTCATCATTCCAATATTTGCAATTCTATCTCCCTACTTTAGATTTTCTATAAGAAATTGCTACAATAACATGTAGTTAATATTTTATAATTTGAGAACTTTTGATAAAAATGACTTTTTAGTTATACATTGTAAGTGGGTATCAAACAACAAAATTCTGTTAAATAATGTTCTTAATAATATAAATTCTAATTCAGCAATCACAAAAAGCTTAATTTTGATTACCTGCTAGACTTGTAACTTTGGGGTCTTTCTGCCAATCCTACTGCCAGGGCACAGGGCTGGAACTCGGCTTCCTCTGTGATCAGTAGATGTTGCCTTGACAACCTGTTGGCTTCCATGGTGATGACCTGTATCTGACCTCCTTTGTCCTTGATTATGGATAATACTGCTTCTTTTTCATCAAGATATCTGGTGTTGATTTTCACCAGAGTAGCTCCACAGGTAGAATCACCTATTAAAATATAATTAGTTTATAAATATAAGTTGATTTTTCTGAAATCGGTAAAATCTGATGTTATAAGGAAATCATACCCTTTGATTGAATATGGAAGAAAATATCATATTGCCATTTTAAAGAGGTGTTAAATTAATACCTTTTGCTTTATTTACATCCTTTTGCACATAGCTTTATTTTTTACATTCAATTATTCAATAATATGAGAATTTTTTTTCTTTCAAAATACTTCTTTTCAACATATTTTTGGAAAAAGAAACCTAACCATCTAGAGAGTCCATGTATTCTGACATGATGATTTTCCCAATCTCATCACGAAAGCGCCCCTGCATCTCCAGTTCTTTGATGTGTCTTTCTGCTTCTTCCTTCTGCTTTTTATCAACAGTTTGGACATTTCCCATGATTCCTAGCAGGGTGTGGGGCAGTGGAATTCTAGACCCTGATAGGCTGTGAACCTCACTTTCAAGGGCTCCTGATCGACGGAGTTGTCGCTCCTTCTTACAGAGTTCTTGGTAGATTTCAGACTGATCCCCTTCCACAGCTGTACAAAATAGGTATAATACTGTCAATACAGTAGATCACATAATTTCCGCGACACTCAATTTTCACAAGATAGTCATTGACTCTTCATGAGCAATACAAAATTTTCGTGAATAGTGGTTACTGCTCTAGATAATCCAAGGAATACAATTTTAAAGTGCTTTTAAAGTGTGAGAATTAATTTTTCGATAGCACACGGTCTCGCGTAATTACATGAAAATAAAGTTCTCGCAAATAAAAAGTGATTTACAGTACATAAGTTATAGTCTTGATATAAGTATTAAATCAATGTAACGAAAGGTTGCAATTGGGAATATATAATTTAATATTAATCATAAGCCTGCATAAAAATAGATTACGTGATTGTAATTACATTGATTTATACAAGCTGAAGAACTATACAAGCTATATACTAATCTAAAAATTAAAAAGTATTTAATTCAGATTTACATCTTTTGTCATGTACTTCTGAAAATCTAGAGTGTGCGTAAATCTTTTTTTTGTTTTGATTGTGGAAGTTTGATTTACTAACCAGAGGAAAGGCGGGCCATTTCCAGTAGAAGCTTTTCCCTTAGAAGTTCATATTTAGTTTCCATGGCATCCATGATGTCATTAATGGTCACATGATCTTTTGATGCATCCTGGGATTCCAGATCTTCCACCTCCAAACCATCATCAAACAACATGGCTTCCAATCCCTGCTTCTTCCATCTTTAGGTATAAAAGTACAATAACATACATTTTATCTCAAATTAAGCAAATACTGTAAAATTGTTAACAGTGAAACTTATATAAATAATACAGATGTTGTGTATCATGAAATCTTGCCCAATATGATGTTAACTTTAAGAACTTGTTAATAAATTCAATTGTTTAAAATCATAAATGTCTAATTTGGAATATTTTTTGAAACAGCTGAGTGTCCGGATTAAACAATTAAAATCTAAGGATAACTGCAATCCTACTTAAGTAAATAAATTAATCATACATGTATGTTGAACTGATCAAGAATTTCTGTTTATAAGGACATTACTTGTTCATCCTCCTCTTCATGTGGTGCTGCATCTCATCCTGGTATTCTTGGAATTCAGTTCCATCATCCTAATGAGATAAGAAAATGTTATTAGCTAGCAATCAGGGGCCCGTTTTACAAAAGAACTTACGACTAAGACCATAAACTTCAGATTGTTGTAACATTTTGCAAAATTAATATTTCTCTTTGAAATCGTTTGTGTAAAAATATCATACCACATTCCTTTTTAAAAGTTTAAAATAATTTTCTATCTAATGTTTATTAAATAGTTATAAGAAGAATTAAACTTGGTCTTAAGTCGTAAGCCCATTTGTAAAACGGGTCCCAGAATTTGACATACTCTTGTTTATAAATAAATCCAGAGTTTAAATGAAGTGAGACTGCTCAAGGATTCTTATTTGCAAGGAAAGATTAAAAGTTTATAAAAGCAATAACAATTGCTTCCTTTATAAAATTCAGCTAGAAAATTTGAACAGTCAGGATATTGTCCCTAAGACCCAAGGCCCTAGAATTTCCCCATCAACTGTTTAATGAAATAATCCCCAAGATATTCTGATATTCCTCCTCTGAACCACCTGCTAGAATACAAACCCTAGACTCTTAGACCCCTTTCTACTTATTCATGTCCACTCATACTTTAATTCTTGGGGAAAACCCCGAAATTACTAAAAAAAAAATTATTTCAATGAAGAAAGACTTAATGGGAATTTCATACATTTCATACAGCAAGAAAAATATTTCAGCTTTTCATAGGAATACAATTCTCCATGGGCCCATTTCATTCCTACCTGCAATATTTTATAGGCATTGTAGCCATCCAGGTCGTGTTGACCTTGGATTCGTTCCAATCGAGCCTCCTCCTTGGTAATCTGTTCAAGTGTGGCTGGTTCACCCTGTGGATAATCACACAACCAGAACCGAATCTCGTCAAAGTAAACATCAGCACCGGGGACCGCTCTAGAGTCCAGAAACTGGTGCCAAGTGTACATAGAAAACCTGGGGATAAAAGATATTGTCTCTACATTACTTTGTAAAATTTTCTGTAGTATTTTTTGTTTAACATATTTGAAATAGATATACATGTATTATGTAAAATTACATTTCTATTGCTTTTACTTCAATTTTGAGGAACTATGTATTTATGCATTTGAAACTGGACACATTAATTTTCAAATAAACTTATTAGTACATGTTGTACCTTTCTTGGTGAAATTCTCTAAACAGCAGCAGAGCATCTTTAAGACAAATTCTGTTAGTGCCATTGTAATCTAATGCCTGGAAGTCCCAATATGACTGTTCCTCTATAGACTGACGACGCTGTAGTTCCTCCAACACCTCAATGAAATGTGATCTAAAAGGAAAATACAAGATATAACGTTGATTATTGATCGTCCTTTAATGTATTTCACAATAAATCTCTTTCATTTCAGTAATCTAAAAGAAAAACTATATTGTTAGTTATTCTTTTTTGATACTTTGATACATAACTTATATGACTACAGAAAATCCTTAGATTTCATGTATAATTTCAAGAATCCATGATGCAATATAATTGAAATTAATATAGTAATACATCATTTTTAATTACACTACACATGTATCAATTATGAGCCTGATACTAACTATCATGAAAATTTGTCAATGCTGGGGAGAATTCATTTTGAAATTTTTTCCTTTGACCAAATGCTTATGGCACGTGTCTGTACTGACCTGTCAACAGTTCCTGGTGTCCCACACACCCTCTGTATGGCTCCATCAACATGCTCCACGGCCACAGGAGAAAAATAAATGGATTGGTGAAAATCCAGTATCTGCTCTGTTGTCACAAAACCCTTACATGCTGTGTCCAAGTTGTTAAAAAGAGCTGTGAAGTCTTGGATGCCCATTTCCGTGCCTAATTACTGGGAACTTCAGTCTATATCTTTTAAGATTGTATATTTATGCTGGTTACGGCAGGTAAACTAATTTTAAGTGACAGTTACATATAGGAATAGGGAATGCAGTAAATGCAGTTTTCATATTTTTCAATATAATGCACAGTGTAATCAGCTATACATGTACATTCTCTTAAGAGAAGTATATGTTTTCCCTTACATGTTTAAAGACAGGTAAGCGAAACTTTATCTACTCTTTTAAAATGAAAATGTATCTATCTCTCCAAAGAGAATGCATAAATAACATGTTATATCTATAACATGTATTTTTATGAATAGATGAATAAAGCTTAATATAATACTTTCAGGAAGATGGAACTCCTTCAGCTGGCAACCATTTCATTATTTTGAGTATTAACTGTTACAAGATAATTTTTTCTTAACATTTTTTTTTCATACTGATAGCTGTAAAAAAAGAGAGAGAAGTGTATCCAAAAATCTTTAGTTCTTCACAACTTTGAAACTTTGCAATATATCGTTAAATACAATACACAGTGATTTTCGTCGATTTTGGTACCCTTATGTTTGTCAAAATAAATAAAAATTATATTTACCATCCTTTAATCCTATTATTAAATCATTTTTCTTCTTGCAAAATTTTCTTCCTCCATGTTGTTTACATACACCAAGACATTATGTGACGAAATGAAAACTTAGCCAATCATTTTCATCGTTACAAACAAGCACTTTTCAAACAACTCGTACATTGAAGCACTCGGATACTATGCGCATTGTCTAGAAATAAGGAAGTTTAAGTTTACTTTTTCACAAAATTGAAATGCTATTTTGAGAATAAGCAATATATATTATATGTTAAGCAAGTCCATGAGAATGGGGTTTGGGGCATAAGCATTGGAACCGGCCGGGAAGGGGGTGCTTTTTCTTGTTATAAACATCGATATTTATGTCTTCCTTCATGAATTTTGAAAGAAAAGATAAATGCTTCAATTGTTGTTGTTTTTTTTTTTTAAGAAAAATGCATCCAAATATAGGTGATAAAAAAGTGACAGAAGTTATGTGGACATAGATAATGCGAATTTTGAAGGTATTTCCGCCCTTCTCGGAATGTTAAAAAACAACCACATGCATGAATCTAACAATACTTTCACTCGGAATGACTTAAACAGCTTTTAATGACCTATGTTTTAAATCAATTAATAGTTAATCGTGACGGAGGTGACTTCCATTTCTCCTGCTATAGCATTTTCATCATAATTCTTACTTTCTGCTTTAGAATAATCGTGTTTTCAGTGGGTTTTTTCACTACATAAGGAAATAAAACTAGTTATTCATTTAAAAAAGAGAAAAATACATTTTTTATCCTGATTAATAAACAAATGTTATATTTGACTTTTGACACACGATTCAAAAACTAAAATTTGGCCGTTGATTTGAACAATTCAATATCTACACTACCCAAGAATGCCTCCTCATAAGTTTCAGCTTTTTTGGCCAAGTTGTTCTTGAGAAGAAGATTTTTTAAATGACCCCACCCTATTTTTGTCTTTTCTTGATTATCTCCTTTGTGAAGGGACTTGGCCCTTTATTTTAATAATTTAAACTCCGCTTTACCCAATGATGCTTTGTACCAAGTTTGGTTGAAATTGGCCCCGTGGTTCTTGAGAAGAATTCAAGAATGTGAAAAGTTTACAGACGAACGGGCAACTAAACGGACGGACGGACAAAATGTGAATGTTTATCATCCCAATTTTATAGGGGGCTATCTCAAAAGTTGTCAAATTTTACTATTAGACCCTAAGGGAATTTGTTGGAAAAGCGCCAAATTATCACAGTTTTTCCATATCTTCTGGGTTGTATAGATACTTAAATACCTAGTGAAAGTTACTTATCAATCTAGATTAACTAATCTTATCTAGTAAATCTACCCAATACCTAGTAAAACTACTTTTAAGGTAGTGATTGCATGTATGGAACTGTAGTAAATTTACTAGTCTTCTTAGTACTTCAACTAGTTTTTTTTTCTCTCAGTGTTATTATATCAATACCCCTAAAAATTGCCATATATATATAACGTATAAATACATATATCAGTGCAGATGAATTATGGGCGCATATATGTTTTTTCGGTAAAAATAGCAATATTTAGGTTGCTAGAGTATGGTTCTTTGGATGTTCTGTCGTTAGTTTTTAGCATATATACAAAATGTATCCATGGACGTCTTGAACATACTTGTAAGGGAGTCATGCGTTATTCTTAAGCGTCATGCATTGCTTACAAAATCGGAAAATGTTGATATGTTAGAGCCATTTCAGGGTTTTTTCCTAATTTTTGTCGTTAAATCACCTTTTCAGACAAGTATATAGTTTACAGATAATATTTATTTTATTAAAATCAAAATAATTAACAAAGGTGTACTGTTGCACAAATCACTGCTGGTATAGTGCGAATCGAGAAAATCTTGGTTTCGGACACATAGTAATTGGTTTACATCAATGAGACAGTTTGAGTCAACTAAACGATCAGAAATGATAGAACATTTGATTAAGACCTAATTGTTAATGCCCAGTATGTTTTCATGCAGTAAAATTGCTCGTTAGTTGATTACATATAAGGAACAATCCAGTATAACTACTTTAGACTACACCCATTCAAAATGCATGCATTTTACTGGATCTATTCATACTTACTTTTTGCGCGTTAAGCAAGATTTACACTAGTACATTATTTGTGTGAAAAATGATATGAGTATATAGTTATGAATCATTTAGGATTTCCCATGTCTGTAATATTTCATAAGATTAAAACTTTGGCTGTAATATCAGGCACGTAGCATCGTTTTTGAAAGTGGGGGGGGGGGGGGGGGGGGGGGGGGGGGGGGGGGGGGGGGGGGGAGGGGGGGGGGGGGGGGGGGGGGGGGGGGGGGGGGGGGGGGGGGGGGGAGGGGGGGGGGGGGGGGGGGGTGGTGGTCAACTCTTTCAAAGCTAAGTTACTTTCACTTCCAATTTTTTCCCTACATTTCCTTGATATCCCTACACTATGGTTACAAGTGGGGGGGGGGGGGGGGGGCAACCATCCTTTCAAGCCCCCCCCCCCCCCCCCTGTTGCTACGTCCCTGAATATAAAGTTTTCTGATAGCAGCACGATTATGGCTGCTGTAAATGTGACTCTTGGCACCTGTAATTGCTAGTACATGTACGTTTGGCTTCTGTTCAGCTCCATAAATTGCGACGTTTTACTGCTGTATTATAAATTTTATCATTTTCCAAGAAATACATTTAAATTTCATATCGATACATCAGAAAGTGCAGCGTCCTTGAATTAACCCCCAAATCAAGTCGAGGATTTGTTTCTTCTATCAAATATTTAAAATGTAACGCATATACCCCCACCCCACCCACATAAATCAGGGGCGTAGTATCCGGGGGGGCCAGCCCCCCCCCCTTTTTTTCCCAACCTTACTTATACTATAGGAAATGTTAATTGAAAGCCTGGTTGGCCCCCCACTTTTAGAGATGTACCGAAAATGTAGTATAGGTAAGGTATGGTAAGTATGGTAATAAAAGTAGTTGACACTGAGAAAAAGTTTATATACCCCCACCCCCACGAAATAGGATTTTCGACTTTGGGCAACTTTTTCCTTTTTTTTTTTTTTTTTTTTTTTTGCTTGTCAACTTTTTCAGGTAAGTAAAAATTTTTTTCTCTGGTTGCCCCACCCCCCCACTTTCAAAAACGATGCTACGCCACAGTAAATTGTTCTGATATATGGAAAAAATAAAGGATTAAAAATGCAACATTTACTCTGGATAGTTTATATTGGATATCATTCTTGAAAATCATGAACTTGTTTCACTTAAGCATGTTTCTGGAGTATATGTTCATTAATGCTCTATCCCAAAGTTCAATTTTAATAATTCCAGATTCATGTTGTAAGTCATCTTCAATTGACTGTCTAGAACTTAAGAGTTTCAAACTTTCTATGCATGCAGAGGAAACGAAAAAGACCTTGCAACCCCTCCCCCCTTTCGAAGGAAAAAAAAAGATTGACCTCTCTTTTGTAAAAATGAGTCATGATCAACACATGTACTGGTATTTGGAGGAAAAAGACGTTAACGCATGCAGGTGGGAATATTTTTTTTTTATTTTTTGACTTGGAAAGAAGGCATGGGAAGGCTTTAAGTCTTTCCGATAAATAACTTGTATATAGAATATTTTAATATCTCAACAAAATATTCTCATATTTGAATGACATACAGACACCGGTCTACTTATTAAAAATGCAGACCCGTCACGCGTGACATTTTTTTTTCAATGTACATGGTTGTCTATGTAGGGAGGATTAGGGTCGATCGCAGGTGATTGACAAGCCAACAAAAATGTCCAATCTCGGAAGAACAAAGCTGCAGAATTGTAGTGTTAACTTGTGGTTTCATGTTTTCATCTTTGGATATAAAGAATTAAGTATAAAATCATAACGCTGCCGCTCTGCAGCTAGGAAGAACAGTCCTAATCAGACTTTGCGTGTGTGTGTGACCTTTCTCTAACTTTTCCATTTACCGCAACTGCCACCTTACAGCCAAGGGTTTCTGATACGCTACTTTGCTCATAATTCAACTGTGGAGAGTAGCGTATTAGAAACCCATGGCCAGCGAAGATTACAATGGCTGGATTACCAAACCAAACGGTTGGCTGCAGTGTTACCAACTGAAAACAAAATGTATATTTATTGAACACAAAAGTGCGCTGCTTCTCGATTTCAAACAGTCATATTCTCAAAATATTTCTAACTGGGTGTTCAAAATAAATTCCTTTACAATGTCCACTTATCTATTTCCACAACAAACAAAGTCCTGCTGTAAATAGCTCTTCGTGAAATGGAGACCATCCAATTTCGCATTTTTACTGTCATTTTTAAGATGACAACAGACAAATCGCTTCAATTGCAACACGCTTCGTGAAGAAGTCTCGAAGTAATGATTTTAATGTCAGCTTTTCTGCAGCAAAGGTCTATCTCTTTTTTTCTCT